AACTAATGGTTTTGCGAACAGGATGAAGTCGAGTTAAGTGTTAAAAGAAATCTGAAATGCACGTCTGCCTATCTCATGGTATTTGGAAATCAAACTTAATTTTGGTATGGCAGATAAACTCTTGAACTTATCAATGCGAGAAAAGTTGAACACTTTTTCTTTCCACTTATATGTGATCATTGGAGAAGTTAATTTTCAACGTTGAGCTAAAATAACAGTTCCACTATATTTGGATTGCCAACGCCTTTTTATCTCGTATCTTGTTGAAATGAGATGAAACTGACACTCGATTTTAAAAAACCTTTGTGATAATTTCACAATTCTGCCAAGTTTTGTCCGTTCACAACAAAAGTGGCACAACTCACAAATAGTAATTTAGCAGGATATCGGTTTTAACCTGAGCAACACCGTCTATTTCGCGGACAACTGTTTATTTTCGCGGGCGTTGTTTACTTATTTACGGGATGCTTTGATAATTTTTTACCAGCAAAAATATTCTATTTTATAAACATATTAAAGTGTATAAACAACGGTACGTGATATTTGAGAATACTGGTCGTTACGTTAAACACACTCTTCCGGAGGACACTCGAAGGTAGTGCGCAACAATCAATCCTGAATTTTATCCAATCGTTTGAGAAAGCGTGCACATTCTGCCAGATTTCGAAGGCGTAAGATTTCAACGCCTAATGACATCATAAAAGCAGTTCTATTTTGTGGAATTATACATTGGATATGTATCTGATTGCTGACAGAAAGTTCATTGCCAAATTAGGCTTCAAACTTAACGCCGAGAATATTTCCTACCACATTACGGCCATATATTTGATTTGCTGGCTGAGGAGATCGAGCCAGCCTTGGATAGCGGTCAGCGGCACTGTGTCGCGCCAAAAAGTAGCTATTATTTTCATGATACGTAACTATCGTTTGGCCGTTCTTGGTGCAAGTCCACCATTTCCTGTAGTTGAAGTACGTTCAAGTTCCATTACAACATACGCAAGGTCGTTTACATACGCGTTGTATATATTTATCCCGGGATGAGTGGATGTCATTAATAACTAGGGAACAGATATTTATGTAATACATCTTTTTACAGGAACAAGACACACGCATTCAGTAATATTTTTTAGAGTTTACAAGACATTAATTCAGTCGATGCTACACATTCTTATATAATTCATTACATTTTAATATATTTATAAGCAAAAACGGAACATTTCAAATGCAAGTTTGTAATATGTTACTGGGATCAGTTTCTCACAAAGCGATGCAATGCAACTGCACTTCTCTGACCACCGATCCCTCACCATGAATTGTGAAAATTACATTCCACTTGCTTGTTAGAAACAGCATATTCGAGAATCAAGGATGAGCGTATGAAACAGAAATAATTTCAACCACGTGCTTGCTCATGTTTCACATGAACCATGCGTTAGTCGATCGGAAAGTAACAAATATCATTTACGGATTATTGGATTATCGCGGGGGTTGGGGGGTGAGTACGTTCCCTCCTCCACCCATCTGGGAACCATCACTGGTTACACGCTGCTACTATTCACTTGAGCGCGGGCTCATTGTTTATACTACGAACGCATATTATACTTCGAATAAATATCATGTATGTGGTGAAGATTAGTATGCAATTTCTTCTATAGAGGTAGAACTTTCATTAAACTGCTCCAAATCTATTATAAGCCCTGAGCGGCATCATTCTGTGCTCGGAAAATACCTGCGTATAGCAATTTTAAACATTACAATGAAATTTTATTTTACATGTTTTCTATTTTTCACACATTTTTGTAAAAATAATACACATATATTTACTTTTTTTGCATTTTTATTGCAATAAATTCCATTTCCAATTAATGACTTGAAAATTCGATAGTGAGTGATTTTATGGGGATTCGATAAAAGGGGGGACTTCATGGGGCATCCGAGCGCTATGAGGGTTACTAACAATTTTCTAGTCTTCATTTAAGGAAATGGTATATTGTGTTATGTATTTCATGACTAACGCATTCAAGGTGGTTGGTTATTCAGAACTCCGTCATAAAGTTTTCAACCGATTGTGAACATCCGTTTAAATGCATTTGAACCAGATTTAACAATTCCAACAGCAATCTCCATGAGGGAGAAAACACGTACGTGTAAGAATGTTTAGACTTAAGCGCTGCCGCGAAAGTATTTTCTTTCCAAACGCGTCTTGATGACACAGCGGTCTTCTACAAGCCGCGTCGACCTTCTACAGCACGCCCACGCGACGCAAGTTCCGCGCCTGTCATTGCCAAGACGGCCTCTGTCATGCTACGCCGACACTGTGTCAACCCGTTTGGTCGGACGTGTGACGTCCCGCGGCGCTTCCTAAAGCGGCTGCCGAGCGGAAGAGAGCGTCCGCGTTACAATGGCGTCGCGAGAGCGCCGCTTTCCTCCGTCATCTCCCGGCGATGCGGCGTGGACCTCTCGCAAGAGAAGCTGCGCTGTGCCTCCCACGGCCGACATTTCCGCTTCCGGTGCGGAGGCGGCGCCGCCTGGCGGCCCGGAAGCTGCGCCAGGCGCCGACCTCCCCCCCCCCGCCCGCGCACACAACCACCGAGCGGAGAGGATTTTGACAGCGAGTCATTTTAGCCTACGAAAGCACATCCGCACGTCGCGCATCACAGTTTTCAAAGTGAAATGAGCTTCGTACGGAAGTGGAACGTTTCTATGCAGGGGTGTCGCCCTTCAGCAGTATATGAGAACGTACAGAGAGTTCTTATTTTGTAGCATACTAGATACATTGGTGGCATAACTCGTGACCCTTCACGGACACGAAAACCTTGGTGTAAGAGCCTTCGACGAATCGCTTCACAGTTATCCATGATCGTAATGTGTGTTGCGGGTTGCATATGCTTACGGGGTTTTGTGTGAATGGTTTCTTGTAAATGGTTCAAACTCATTTTTTCCTTATCGAGATATTTATATAGAAGAACAAAATATTCCATGCAATTTATAAATATCTATTACATACACAGTATATATCATATACTGAAGTAAAAAAGTAATTAGTCAAAGGTTTTGGAGACGAATCTAAATATGTATGACACAAATAATCTCTAAAATATTAAATCTCAGGAATAATAAAATAGAATCGCTTTCCAAAATTACTACTTATTCATTGATACTGTCAAGAAATAAATTATTCAAAGACGTTAAGAACATCTCTTATGAGTGAAAAAATGTGTTACCATTCTATGGCAAATAGCCCCGCTTTACATTCCGACTTTTCAAGATTCAAATATCTATAATATGCGGAATCACCAACACCAAATGTAAACATCTGAGGTGGTGATTTGTTACTTCCAAGAGGTCAATGGCTTCCTCACTACTCGTATTTAATGTTATGGCGTTGCCCTTTTTCTATTCACGAAAGTATTCTGGCATTCAACTCAGAAGAACATTGTGGTATCAATCTCACAACTGCTGTATCAATATCGAAAACATATTGGACTACTATAAATCGACTTTTCCACAATCAAGTAAGCACCCCTGTACTGTCCTGTACTGTCCTGTACTGTCCTGTACTGTCCTGTGTGTCCTGTCCATCACTCTGACTCATCGACAATGAGCCATACCATGCAGTCAGCTCATAACGCTGTATCATTTCGAGAGTTTAAACAATATATCGCAATCTATCGATTCGTGCTTCTATATGAATGTATCGACATTTGAAGTTCAATAATGTTGACCAATCATTTGTTCGTTTAGTTGATATTTTAATCAGTACCAAATATTATGTTATTTCTACGAATAATTTTTAGCTCTACGGCAGTTTTATAGAAATGAACAAATTAATAGATTAAAAGTAAATGAATAGTTCTGAGTACGATAGCGATGTTGTAGGCTGCCAGTCATGATCTGGACTACCGGGTGGCGTTCGTCGAAGGCTAAGTTACTTTCGACGCGGTGTCACCCGGGTAGCCCAGATAACCACAGACCTAGAGTCCGAAAATCTAATATCTAATTTTCATCACAGATTAGGCTTACACAATTAATCCTAGCGCGTACTGGGCCGGTACGGCATGGACAACATTGTTTACAAATTGTTAACGTTCGTTCCCGTGCGCATTGGGCCGGTACGGCATGGACGAGATTGTTTAAAAATTGTTAACGTTCTTTCTCGTGCGCACTGGGCCGGTACGGCATGGACGAGATTGTTTAAAAATTGTTAACGTTCATTCCCGTGCGCACTGGGCCGGGAAGAAATAATCCGCGCCTTCGTCCCATAGCGAAAAGTCCGAAGGAATATTCTTCGGTCATCCCGAGGACCGTTCCGTCCTCACCGACTGATGACGTGCTTCAGCTTGGGACGGCCTTTCCGCTGTTCTATTTGTGACGTTATTTGAAGCGAACATTGATTATTTGTGGATGAACATAATTAAATTTGACACATCCGAGTTTTACAATATTATTTTGTTTTATTTAATATATTACATGACACCGCGAAGTGCACTTTAGTTACCTAAACTATCTGTATGAAGGGGTATCATTTGCGAAATTTAAAATATCATGTATTTTTAAAAACTGTCCAGTGTTCGTGAAACTGGGGTACTTTGGTACATGGTGAATAAATTATACAGTATTTTAGAATGATACGTTGGTTAATTAATCAATATAAATTGTTTTTTGTGTTTCTTATTTTCTTAAATTAATATCATGCCTATGCCGTCTATTTTCTTTACCCTACAAACTGCGTGGTTCGTATACCCTAACAAACGGGGTGCGGACCACGCGCGATATTTCCTACCTCTGCCATGTCGTCTCATCTTGCCTTACTCACACTCACGCGCACTACACTTCTACACAGAGCTTGTCCCGGCTGCGGCAGTGCCTGCTGGTGGAAGATACCTAGTTGGGGAAAACCCCGCTATCCCTCAGGGATCCCACCATCGATCAGGGAAACACCACGCCACCTCCCGAGCAAAGACATGCCCTACACTTACGGGGCTAATGTCCCTAGTAGTTGACGCGCCCGGATTCACTATGAATCAGCTAATCCATGAATGCCTGACCGCGCGCAGAGAGCAGCGTGGAGTTTCGTGGCGCTGGCGGCGCTGCTGGGCTGCTGCGCGGCGCAGGGCGCAGGGGCAGGGGCAGGGGCAGGCCTGCGCGAGCTGCTGGCGTGGAAGCAGGTGTCGTTCGCCTTCGCGGACGACGCGGCGCGGTCGCGCGCGCTGGACAGCGGGGTCTTCGTGCCAGAGCACAACGCGCCGCTGGGCCTGGACGTGTCGGGCGACCGGCTGTTCGTGACGGTGCCGCGCTGGCGCAAGGGCGTCGCCGCCACCCTCAACGTCGTCCACCTGGACGACGCCATGCTGCGCTCGGACGGGCCGCCGGCGGCGCCGCTGCTGCAGCCCTACCCCAGCTGGGAGGCCAACACGCTGCCCGCCGACGGAGAAGGTACGCGGGCCGACGCGATACCGCCATTTTGTTTTCAATTTTTAACGACTCGTTGTGTCTTGTTATGGCCTTCGGTACGGAGCTCGATAAACAGTGCATAACTTACCCGGATCGAGAGGATCATGGTGACGAGGGAAATATGAAAACAGTTGCATGAAGCTACATGTTTTCTTCTTATGGAGGGAATTATGAAAAGACACACTAAGCCAAGTTAACATCTAGTTAATTAGTAAATAACTAAATATGAATCAATAAAATTAGGTAAAAATAAAACTATGTACCTACCACAGGCGTTAATTGGTTCTAATGATCTCAGACGACAAAACGCCCGAGAGCTTTTTGTCACCGTTCGATCATTTAATCCTTATTTTAAGCCTTTGTTGCGTAAATAACAATTTTCAAGGTGAGAATTCGTAATAAGACAATCCCTCAGACTTTTCCTGCATATGTGCTCACTTCCAATGACGGGATTTGCATCTGTCGGTTTAAGTTTTGTTGTAGTTTTGTCGTTTACGACAAATGTGTACATTTTATTACAAATATGTTGCACTGAACGAAGTTTCCGTTGCAAGCATCTTAAAGGAACTCTGTGTCAATGAACAATAATAATGTAAATAACGAAAAATTGAATATGTATAATAGAACCATATTTTGCCAATAGTTTTTTAATAAATTTTGTAGCTTGTGAAATGAGATGTTGAGAATAAACTAATAATTGTCTAGGATTTTTAATGTATATTTTGAGGCTAGTATATAATCACAAAATAATTAAATTTATTTCAAAATATGTGACTACAATATCCTTAAATGTCGCTTGCCTAATCTAAAGAATATAGTGAGCTTTTACGATTAAGTTGAAGTGGCAATCTAAACTTGTTAAGGCACTTTTCAGAAAGTATATAATAATAAATATTACATAATTCTTTTATGTAGTCGGATCTCTATGACAGGGGGAAGTTTACTCTTTATTTCCCAAAATATCAATACCTGCAACAAAATCAAGTTTACGTAACAAACATTATTTCAGGACAAGTAAGTTTAATGCAATGAACTTCCAGAGATTTTTTTGTTTTTATTTTCAAAAAACTCTTCTTCTTTGCTACCTCCTGACACACACATCATATAATCTGCATGCTATGTGCTTGAATTATTTGTCTCCAAATGTTATATCGGAAAACGTTACTCAACCAGAATGATTGGGTATAAGACTCTAATCATATACGATGTAAAGCACGTAATTACAGTAAATTAAATTTATTTCCAAATGCTGTGATAGTGTACGATAATTCTCTGCTCCCATGAAGCAACATCGTGTTATTGCGCCGCTGAGTCGAAGAATTGAGAACGAAGTGGATGTTGCATTAGGGAGTTTTTGCATTAGGGAGAAAGCTCTACTGCAATCGACAGAACTACTGATCTTCTACGCAAACGCAGTTCAAGTTTCACATAACGTTTTTGTGTGTGCGCATGCGCAAAAGATCGATATTGCAGATGATTTCTGCACGTCGTGCAAAAACTCCCTATTATGGGAATTTAGCTTACCGTTCGCAACACACCCTGCAGTACAACTTTGGAACTACGAAAACGTTCGACGCAGGTTGGGAGGTCGCCTCTAGCGTACACCAGTCGCTTCATTAGTGGATAACGCAGTGGATCGTGGGCCTGAGAGCGTTCGCGGTGCGGTGTGCGCAGGCGAGGACGCGGCGGCCGGGAAGCTGGTGTCGGTGTTCCGCGTGCGCGCCGACCCGTGCGGCCGCCTGTGGGCGCTGGACACGGGCCTGGACGACCTGCTGGGCAGCACGCGGCGCGTGGCGCCCGCGCGCCTCGTCGTCATCGACCTGGCCAGCGACCGCGTGGTGCGCGAGTACGCGCTGCCCGACGCCGACCTCAAGCCAGGTGAGCACGCGCTCGCACACTTTTCATTACAATAACAACAATAACAATAATAATAATAATAGTAATAGTAGTAATAATAATAATAATAATAGTAATATTAATAGTAATATTAATAGTAATATTAATAGTAATAATAATAGTAATAATAATAATAGTAATAATAGTAATAATAATAATAATAGTAATAGTAATAGTAATAGTAATAGTAATAATAATAATAGTAATAATAATAATAATAGTAATAATAATGTCCATCATCATCTAGAGTCGTCTACACGGTAGATGCCATTAGTTGTGGCATTCCGGCTTAGGTGACTGAGTGCCTCTGACTGGGGCGTCCTAGGTTCCACTTCAGACGATGCCAGGGAGAACACTGGATAACACTGGAGAAAGACATAGAATAGCAATGGTTTCATGCTGTCTGGGAATGGACAACAATGACAGTTGTGAATGACTGGTGATTGCGAGCAATCCACAAAAAAAAAGATTCTGGAAATTTCATTTACACCATGAGAATTTTTTTAAACATCGATATTTCTGTACTAATGTATCGAAATGAAGAAAACATTGAAAGCATGACATCGATGTTATAACATCGATGCCACGCTGGTGGGAGATACCTGGTTGGGGAATAACCCCGCAAGTCGACGTAGGTCGGCGCCGGATCTCACCAGCCAATCACCGCCGCCTCCCGCAATAAAACACACACTACTCTTAGGGGAATAATGGCGTTAGCCTTTGTCGCTCCCGGAATCACTAATGTCAATGTGATCGACCTTGCGCGTGTATCGCAGACTCCTTCTGGGCGCACATCGCGGTGGACGTGACCAACGCCACGTGCGACGACGCCTTCGCCTACCTGTCGGACGTGGGCGCGCAGGGGCTGGTGGTGTACTCGTGGAAGCAGAACGCGTCGTGGCGCGTCGAGCACCACTTCTTCAACTTCGACCCGCTGCGCGGCAACTTCCACATCGGCGGCGCCAACTTCCAGTGGAAGGACGGGCTGTTCGGCGTGGCGCTGTCGGCGCCCGACGACGACGGCGGCCGCACCGCCTACTTCCACCCGCTGGCCAGCACGCACGAGTTCGCCGTGCCGACGCGCGTCTGGCAGAACAGCTCCGCCGCCGACGACTACTACGCCTACCGCGTGCTGGGGTCGCGCGGCGAGCGCGCGCAGTCCACCGCCTCCTTCATCCACGAGCCGTCGGGCGTGCTCTTCTACACGCTCGTCAACCGCAACGGCGTCGGCTGCTGGAACACCAACAAGCCCTTCTCCGAGGAGAACCAGGGCCTGGCGGCGCACGACGACAAAGCGCTCATCTTCCCCAACGACCTCAAGGTACTTTTTTGTTTATTAATTTACTTGCTTATTATTTACTATTTTTAATTATTATTTATTAATTGCTCTATTATTTGTGTTTATTGAGGTGGAATGTAATTGCACACTAACTCCGAATAAATGTTACAAACTTCTAGAGCAAGTAAGGGTGAGAAGGTGATCACCTTTTGCCAATGAACATGAGGTGAATAAATGTCGTATAACGAATATACTCATGTGACAATTGCCCCAGTGGGTAGGCACCATACCTAGCACGGAAGATTTGCAGGTAGCCCAATTGTCTCTGATTGCGTAAAGATCTGTAAGGCCAAACGCCATTGCACGATGACTATAATTCAGGAGCAAATGTTACATGAATAACTTCGTTGTTTGAGATTTTCCACCACATGTCCATTGGTAATACGTGATAATATTACGCCTCCTTTATTTTAGAGAGATGACGAATTACACTTTATTTTCATAAATATTACGGATTTGAGAAAAAATGTCAACACCAGACAGCCACAAATGTAATTTTCAACTCACTACATTACATTTTGGAGAATCATATCTTCTGGGTAAAGCGCTCCGTAACAGGATGATCACAGAGGGATAGAATAGCGATTCTTTCATAAATTAAACGTATTATTTGATAAAGGAGAAGGGAACGGTTTTCCACTTTAGAGAGTTCTTGTTCGGGTACGCAAGTATTCTTTTAATTATTACATTTTTTATTATAATACTAGTGGCAAGCATCACAAAAAATCCTCCTGAATATCCTCCAGCAAATATTGGTTTTCCAAAAAAGTAGCACGCATACCGCTCACAAACTACAAATAAAATACTCTTCTATAATATTGCAATAAATTAAATATTTTAAGGAAAGCAATTTTCACAAATTATCCAATTACATAGTGTACTATTGGGTCTAGGCACAGTGCAACAGCTCTTTACATACCAAGAATAAAAAAGTTGTCATTTCATGATAAAACACGTAAATAGAAAATATTTAAGGGCAGACGATATCTCCCCTGTAGCCTTGCTGCCACATCATATCAGCTCTTTCGTAAGGAGTGACGCACTGAGAATTGTTTGCTGCATGAGAGAGAATAGGGGAAACAACACAACAAATATTCGGATTTTCAGTCAAAATCGAAACTCATTGTTTTTTAATTTCCCGCCGAGTTTCGGGGTATGTCACGAAACCGTATGCAGCTTTCACTCGGCCGGAGGTCGCATAATTTTCTTTCAGTTTCCGCGCGCATTGCAATTGAGTAAAATATATTTGACTTGAAATATATATGATATTATTTTATTTAAGGTGTGTGGTGGCGGCAACCTGTGGGTGCTCTCCAACCGCCTGGGAGACTTCCTCTACGGCAAGTTGGACCCCAACGAGGTCAATTACCGCATCTTCAGACGGCCAGTGCCGGAAGTGGTGCGCGGCACCGTGTGCGAGTGAAGCGGCCCTTCCGCTGCCGCTGCCCTTCCGGTCTCTCGCTCGCGCAGGCGCCGGACGTCCACCATGCACCAGGCCATCGATTCATCCTCTGTTGTTGCATGATTTTCATCAAAATAAAATACGTTTGCAAAATGTGCTGTTTTATTCCTGGGCGTTTGTGAGTTGCCTTGCTGTGACTACACTATAAGCGGACTTAGCGGACTATTTTACTATTGTCGCAATTATTAATTTCAATGCATAGCAGTTTTGAAACAAAGTTTTGTGTCGCTCTCATTTTCCATTAATTAAACTCCCCCTACTTCCGCCTTACTTCCGCCTTGCTCAGTATGTCCCACATGCTCATCTCACCTATGAGAGCACTTTTTTCTTTATCGGATACGTACGTATATACCTAGTAACGTAATAACGTATAGCATGACGTTCTCAATACTATAATTTTTATTGTTATAGAAAAAGTTGTGTAATGCTGTGGAAAATTGATGTCGAGAATTTAATGGAAATTCTTGTTTTGAGGACCCCTAATATCTAAATTGTGATGTTGTTTTTTACTTCTTCGCTCTTCTTAAAAAGAGAAAGTATTGTGATCCGTAGTGCGCCTAAAAACGGTGGATTTTTAGTAAAACAATCTCTTACTGCTGGGCCCTGGTAACGCCATATCTTGTTCCTGAATATAGTAAATTACTTAATCTTAACTTGTGTAGTCATGTCCATGTTTTGTGGGTCCTTGCTACCGAAAAAGCGATTGACGGCAAATCATTTGTCTGTGCACCCGTCTGTGATCGAAGCTAGCGCCAAAATCGTTCAACCGATTATCGCAAAAATTCGTATTCCTAAATAAGATCAAAGGAATTCTAGGCCCTCTTGAGTTTGAAACGAATATTTAGACAATTGGTGTACTTTATATGAAGAAACACAAGTTTTTTTTTTTTCAAAAATGGCTCAATTTTTTATTTAGCTTCATCCTCGAATAGCGAAAAAGAAGCTTAAGAGAATAGTTTATATCCCGTTTTTTCTTGAAATCCTTGTTTTTTTCGAAAATTGCAAAAGATCACACTTTTTTGGAATCTTCATATAATACAATATTGAAGATTGAGAATTTTCCCGAATAAAATCTGTTCTTTAAAAATAAGTTTTGAATCATGATCAATTTTTCGCAAATGAGTAGTTTCCATGACATTTTGTGTTAAATATAGGCAATTATTATTTTTTTAACACTTATTTTCTCAAAAACGGCTTTAATTTTTTTTAATTTTATTTTCGTATGTATTAAATAACGGTAAAAAATTGGTGCTGGACTCATTTCCGGCGAACTCTGTATTTTCAAAAATTGCAAAAACTTAACAATTCAAAACTACAAAGTTGAAGATGGAGATTTTTGACTTAAATAAAATTTATTCTACAAAATCTAATCCGTGAAAAAGGTCGTGTACTTTTTCTTGAAACAACGAGCTTTTTTTTGCTTGAATTTATAAAAACACGTTTTCTAAAAGACGCTCCAATTTTTTCTTTAATTTTTTTCCACAGGTAAAACAAGGGACGCTTAAAAGAATGGCGTAGGTCTCATTTTCGTTGAACTCTCTCAATTTTCGAAAATTACAAATTTAGAAATAATGCGTGAATGTTTGTTCTCTCCTGAGGACACCGCCGTCACGTGTCACTGTCTGTTCAGGCGGGGAGGCTTGTGTGCTTCCGTGAGGTGGAGGCCTAAGCCGGCAGTGGTATGTTTTGTTTTTCTCTCTCTCTCTCTCCTTTGCATGGCTTCTGGTTGGATCATCCATGTCGGTCAGACCAAAACTGAGGGGGCAAACTAAGTCGTATCCTGCCACGTCCAGTCCATCCCAATTTAGGGCAACCATTCTTTCCTATATTCTTTATCCTTATCCCATAACGACGTGCTAATGTTCTCATGATATCTTTAACTTACTTGTGCCACAATATTTTTTACTCTATTTTATTGGCCTTCCTTGGCCAACTCATGTTTATCTCTGACGCTATTAGGTTTCGAGGACTAAGGAGTATTTCCCCTTCTTCAAAATGTTTTCTTTCTGTAGATTGGGCTAAACAGGCCTTCTGGGGAAAGCACTCAATAGGCATCCATTGATGAATGGCGGGTGAGCCGACTGGGGAAGGTGAGGTTCACTCAGTCGAAGGGATGGTAACCCTTGAATGGAAAGCTCCGCTCCACCAGGTGCGGGTGTTGCGCTGTAAAACATCACACAGCTAAAAATCTCAGTCAAGTAATTGCCTCAGATATTTCAAAATGGAAACGACATTGACAAAGAAAATGGACACTGAATATTGGCCTATGGAATGTACAAAACAACAAAAACAAACAAGTAACCTAGGAAATGATAAGAAGAAACATAAAAATAGCCGTCTGGTCTGAAACAAAAAAGAAAGGCAGAGGAAGTAAAAAACTGAAAAACGTTTGTTCACTTCTACATTGCAGTTAACAAACAGGAAAATGCTAAAGCCAGAATTTATATTGTTATTGGTGAAAGATTATGTAAATGTATCAAAAGTTGGCAATGTATGAACGAACGTGGTAATGATTATTTTTGCGGTTTTAGTCCCTTCATGATTTCAGCCGTAATTCTAGAAAAGTTTTGGTTGAAGAGATTTGCCACTTTTTTCGGATTACTTGCTTCTCTTTCATTACCCTTTAAAACAACATTCTCTAAGTAACGAGATGGTGTGGTGGTATTTTTTACGATATTTCATTTTGCTTTAGTTTAGTTGCTAGCGTTCAAAATACCCTGATTATTTTTCATTACTTTTGCCTGAACTATTACTTTCCTTAAAATTATTTTGTACTCTCGGAAGTAGTTTTGTATTCTCGAGACTATAATGTGCGTGTTTTGGGCGGCACGTTGTAGTTTGTCAATATGTTGTTCTGTTGAAAAGTGACCATCGAAATTGTCATTCTGCCCTCTTATGATGATGACTGTATCCCGTTTGGTGAGAATTTTTGAGTGGGTGTCCAACTCACTGGTCACGTCGGCAAACCTCCCGTTAGATTTAAACACACCCGTGACCGAGAAATTGGATAGGAGTTGAATGGAACTACAGAGGAATAGCAATTATTGCATCCATAGGTAGATTGTATATACTTCGATTTTTATTACGTGACGCGTCACGGCCTATCTTCACGATTGAGTATCTAACGGCATTTCGCGTCTTTCTCGGGCGTGTCGCTAGTTGTCGCATGAGTGCGACTAGTGGCCGCAGCAAGCACTTCAGAAGACTTTGACGCGCCACGTTATAAACACCGAACTATAGCAAAAGAATACGAAATAAAATAGATAAAGAAACTACAGGTGCTACAGACTGGAATAAGCTTTCTCGAACTAGTAACTTTTCTACTCTCTTTGATCTAGGTTAGCTTTTCTGTCTTGTCCCAACCCCTTACCAGCTGCCATCTATCGACGAACAAACTACATTTTTCATACTCATAATGTGATAATTGAAAAATTACTTTAAGAATATTACAGAAGAGTAAAACCTTATCCAATATGGAAATTATTGAAAAATTTGAAGCGGCTTTTCAGAAAATGCCGTTTAAGCGAAAATTATTTTTGAAGAAAACTTTTGAATTTTCAAGAGACTTTCCTAGAAGTCATTTGAAACAATTCCACTAACAAATGCAACAATGTACACAAAACGCTGGAAACGTGCATACTCAGGACGTGAGAGAAAATTTAAAAAAATACATTTGCGTAATTTACAAAGAAACAAAAGAATACAAAAAATTGTTTTTATGTCAACTTATGCAATGCATTTAGACCTGTCCGTACAAAATGTTCAAAGATAAATTTAAAGGCGTTTTTTAGAACACTACGTTTGAGATTTTCTGAAAATGCGAGATTCTGAGCTCATTTTCACCTATGGCGTTAATGTCATTTTATATAGTACATTTATTCTTACCAAAAGCTTAAAGACAAATTTGGAGCTGTTTTTGGGAAAATCTTCTCTTTATTATTTTTTTAATATTGCAAATATTTCATGCAATATTGTCCGAAAACTACAAAAATGTTCAAGAAAATGTGTATGTCAATGAAAGAATTAATTATGGAGAACAAATTTAATTTGAAGGAAAAAACTCTTTAACTTTAATTTTGCAGTTGTAGAAAGAAGACTAAAACAATCGAAACTTTTGCAATTTTCGAAATTTCAGAGTTAGCTGTGAAAATTGACCTATGCCATCTTTATACGTGTATTTTACTACGAATAATCTTTCAAGAAATTTAAAGAAAAAATTTGGAACCATATTGAGAAAATTTTGAAAATGTTCCAGGGGCTTCATGTAAAGTACCTCCAAAATTTAAATAATGTGCTTTTTCAAAATCTTAGAGCTTCCAGTGCAGCTAGATCGATCGGGGAATATTAATTTTGGAAAAAATTGTACGTATTATTAGGCGCCAATGTTATTCACTGACAGATTTCGGACGTTTAAAAAAAACACCTTTTCTGTAAGAGGGGACCACATACGTGTATTTCTGTTGAAATCGAGTTTCCGCAACCTTAAATAACTTTCTCAATACTGCATATATTACTCCGTATATACGTACATATACGAGAAAACAACTAGTGATGCTACAGAATGGCACTGACTTTCTTTTACTAATTAGTTTCCTAATTTCTTTGGTCTGAGCTAGTTTTTTTTTTGGATTTGTCCCGTCGTCTTGCCAGTTGTCATCCATCGCCACCCAAAGTTGTTGTTTTTTTTCTCAAATTTTCGGTTTCCTAATAGTAGAACCGAAAAATTACTTTAAGAATATTATAAAAGAGTAAAGCCTCGCCCCGCAAGGAAATTTTCGTTGAAAACTTTAGAACAGGTTTTAAGAAAATTGTGTGTAAGCGTTATTGTAAATGAGACATTTGAAGCTATTTTTAACATAAATCTTTTGAGTTTTCGAAAAACTTAATAGAAAGTCATTTGAAGCACTTCTATTCACAATTTCAATGATGTGCCATATCGCTGGAAATGTGCGTACTAAAGGCGTTAAAACTATTACATTTGTGTATTTTTGAAAAAACAAAAAAATACAGCAAAATTAATTTTATGTAAAACTAATTTTATCTAAAACAGAGCAATTAGCATTATCCGCACGAAAAGTTTGAAGAAAACATTTGGAGCCATTTTTTGACAAAATTTCTAAAAATGCGGAATTTTGAGCTCATTTTCACTGAAAACTTTATAAAACATCATTTACAGTACATGTGCTTATAAATGCAATAATGTGAACAAATCGCCGCTAATGTTAACGACGTGAGTCAAGACAATATATATATATATATATATATAATATATATATATATATATAATATAATATATATATATTTATATATATATATATGAAAAATAGAGCAAATAGCGTTTGTTTCACCTTGTACAGTACATTCAGCATAGTTCCTACAAAAAAGTTTAAAGCAAAACTTTGGAGTTGTATTTCAGAAGTATTTGCTTGCTATATTTTTTAATAGTTTAGGCGCTAGTGTTTACATGACTATGACTGACGGACGGGCGTTTTGGAGGAAAAAACACTTTTGCGATATTAAGGACCCAAAATTTCTTACATCTGAATACATAACATGTTAGAGAGAGAGAGAGAGAGAGAGAGAGAGAGATGCTAGGGAGAGAGATGCTAGAGAGAGAGATAGAGAGAGAGAGATGCTAGAGAGAGAGAGAGAGAGAGAGAGAGAGAGAGAGAGAGAGAGAGAGAGAGTAATTTACTACATTTTATAAAAGGATTTATCCATTTTTTCGGTATCAGGGTCCCACAACACGAGTTTTTCTGTCGAAAAATCGCCATTTTTTGCCACAACATTACATAACATTATAAAATGTAATAATAATTCACTTTTTGTTTAATTTTTGAAAAAACATAAGGAGTACATCAAAAATATTACATCTAAGTAGCATTTGTGCCATGCTAGCACTTAGCACTATCCGTACAAAAATGTAAAGAAAAAAAATAGAGCCGTTTTCTAGAAAATTGCTTTAGAGCGTTTCTGAAACTGTGGAATTTGATCTCAATTTCACAGAAAACTTCGAATTTTCAAAAATCTTTGTAAGCCACAATTTGAAGCACTTTTTCTGACTAATTAAATAATACATAGGCTACTATTCTCCTATAATGTAAATATTAACGCCGTAAAAGAGATTTAAAAATTACATTTGTGTATTAAAAAAGAATACAGTAAAAGGGCGATAAAGTTACTTTATGAAATGCTTTTAGCACTATCCTGTGACGTCGCAGAAAATAACGAATACAGAACCGCGCTATTGGTATTTTCACTGATGTATTTACAGACTTTTTACAGTTAAGACATGTACAATAAGACAACATTCTCAGGCAACCTCATTTCCCCCAAGCGCCTACCTTCGACTGCCTAAGTTCCGCCCAGTAATTGAACTAAACTCCATATCGCGCGTATTATCGGGTCGCCGCGAACAACCCCCCGAGGGAGACTCATCCCGCTTGGCTCAGGCTCAGCACAAAATCACCCGTCTGGGTGACACTGTGCCGAAGCACATGGAGATGCCACTTGTCCGAAGACTCGCGCACGCAATCCCCGCACAAGGCATATTCTCCCACGAATATAAATATTCACGTGTCACGTGCTCACCCTCAAGCCCGTGCATAATACCTCTGGCCCCGTGTGCAAATCTGGGGTCTACTGGCTAGCCCTACGACGCCCGTTCATTTTAGACGTCTCTGGACCCTACCACCTGGCGGTAAGCGACAGGGGCGTTTGAGAAGTTCACCTACTTTTCAATATAGTTTTGCTTACAATACGAGCTCTGTTCGTGGTTGTAGTCACCCCCCTTGCCAAGCCTCTGCCCGTGTCAACTTCCGTGTCCCACCACAACGACACCACAAAGTTTGAAGAAAAAATTTGGAATGGTTTATGAGAAAATCTTATTTTTAATATTCTTGAATGTATCCTATGGGATATTTCTTCCAAAATTACGCAAAAGCTACTATAATTTCCAGTAGTACTGAATAATTAAGGAACTAATTATTGACAACCAATTTCATTTGAAGAAAAAATCGTTATCTTCAATATTGTAGTTTTAGGAAGAGTATAAAAAATCAAACAAATGTAATTTTCAAAAATTTAGAGATAACCGTGAAATTTCGAACTATGTCGTTATAAGTGCATTTCAATCATTTCTAACAAGAAATTTAAAGAAAAAATTGGAGCCATTTTTGAGAAAATTTTGAAAATATCACAGGGGCTACATGAAAAGTATTACAGAAATTAAAAGAATTCTGTTCAAATTCGCAGAGCTTTGTGTCAGGTCAGATCGACCCGGGAATATTCATTTTGGAAAAAATCTACGAATAGTTTAAGTTCAGAGACGGACGTTTCGAACAAAACAATTTTCGTTTCAGGAACCCAGAAAACTTGCATTTCCGTTGCAATCTGGAAATCGATATTCTACAGCATTACGCAACATTCTTATACTACCTATAAGAGAAATTAATTAGTTTGTGAAAAATGAAAGAATACATGTCACTAAAACACAGTAGACAAAGTTTTTTAAAGAACAAACATTAATCTCATCAATATTCATGTCGGAACTATTTAAGGGAATGTACAGTTTTCATTACATTCGGGATTTAATTTTGGGAGGAACGTTACGGAATGGGGTTCGTAACTTGGTGACTGTCCAATCATCATCGATCATCATCAATCATCATGGTTCTCAGTTAACTGGTCAAAGGATAGAGATAATTTTTGGTAACATTAGCGCCTCTAGCGGTACTTCCTATACAGATGCCAATATATACTCTCAGCTGCAATATATACTCTCTGGCTGCCAATATGTACATCATCCATGATAGATACTGAAAATGTTTATTCCGAGAGCTTCCTGCGGTTTCTTGTGGTTGCTATATGTTGCGGGAATAGACGGTGCTCGTTGTTAGCTTTCGTTTGGATTATTTTCATTGCGATTTCCTGCTTGTGTTTGAATTGGGATGCACAATTTCTTATTAACTCAATTGTAAATGCTGCTTATGTAGTTTCCCGTGTTTTGCTGACATTTTTTGATTTCGTTCATATAACTTAATTCACAAGTATGGGTCGCAAGAAGAAGAAGCAGTCCAAACCTTGGTGTTGGTATCCTTTTTTAACAATTGTAAAAGAGCCAATGTGTACCGTTTTTCTTGTGAATCAGAAATAATTCATCGCACTTTTGTTTTTGTGAACAATCTTTTTAATTTTAGATTTTTGCTTTTAAGTTTCAAATAAAATGTACGAAGTTTTGTGAAATTGATGCTTTACCAACAACTTGTGAATGTACAAAATGATCATGTTTGTTTTTGATTCTCTCCTTAACTACGAAACAGGTACTGTAACAGAGAATTTGATGATGAGAAAATACTTATACAGCATCAAAAGGCGAAACATTTTAAATGTCATATATGTCACAAAAAATTATATACAGGTCCTGGTTTATCAATACATTGTATGCAGGTAATTTATTCATTATTATAATTATTGTAATGATAGTAAAATTGTTACTTAAAGTAAGATTTATTATAGCCAAAACTAGATGTTCATAACTGATTTTTAGTTACGTTCAATATGTTTTGAGTAAAATAAGAATGTAGTGAAGATGGATGATGGTTTTGCTACAAAGTACATGCTAGGTTATACTACTGTGTACTTGGATTTATTCCGAGCTGCATTAGAAGTAAATCGGCTGTTGATGGTTTCGTCCAATTGGGAGCTTGAATGTCTGGACCCATGGTTGAATGGATGAACCCATCAACAGCTGATTTACATCAAATGCATCCTACTGTAGCACGCAAGATCAGTTAACATTAAACAATAATTCTTTCGTTGATATTTGAAACGATACTTCTGAACAACTACGAAATTCAGACATGTAATTTGTTTGTTCTATACAATTGAGGTGACAACACTATCCTACTACTGACGCTTCAGATTTCTGGTGCTTACATCACAGTACTGACGTTACCTCACGATATTTAACTGTCATTGTAATTTTGTGCGTTTTATGGTACTTCGAAATATTGTATATGTATGGAATTGGTTTGTGTACCGCATTTAAAGCACATTTATTATTCTTTTATGTTGTGGAAGTCTGCACTAATAAGCTGTTTTAAAAGTTGGATTTTTCTTTCTTCTTTTTTTTTCTTTTTACAGGTTCACAAGGAAACTATAGACAAGGTTCCTAATTCTCTTCCTAATAGATCAAATATTGAAATTGAAATATACGGAATGGAAGGCATACCTCCTGAAGATATAAAAGAACATGAGCGGCAGAAACAAGGAAAACAGTCAGGTAAATTTTTTCTCTGAGCATCAATAGAATTAAAAAGCATGATAACAACCCGTAACTTTAAACAGGTAATTGTGTAATATTTTTCAAATATAAATTTTTGTTCTTGCCCAACACAATACTTATGGAAAGTAATTATCAATAGTTACATCATTGATTATTTAATGGAATTCAAATATTTGTGAGGACATAAATAAAATAATTGGAGAAACATCATGAAGGAAGTATTCTTGTGAACATTTTGATAGGAGTTTTGTAAGTGAAAGCCAGCAAGCATTATGATTCTCATGTGCATCATTTTTAGTAAATTTGAGGTACCCAGAAGAACGAAAGGTTAAAGTAGAGAAGAAAGGCAGGGGAGGTGGAGGAAGTCTCCTTAAGTCTTCCCTTGAGCTTTGCTAAGCTCTTTGAAAAATTTGAATAATACCTACTGATAGGTTTCTTTCTTGTGTCCTAAAGTTTGACACTTCCTTAAGGAATGAAAAAAAACTTCTTAATATTGGATTTTTATAACCTGGCACTTGATATAAATGAGCTGTTGACACTGTCATCCATTTGGGATCTTAAACGGTACCGTGATGTTCAAGCTCCTGATAGGATGACCCTGTAGTAGCTGATTTACTCACAGTGCGAGGTTATATAAACCCAAATATAATTTACCTTTTCTATGCAGAACACTGATGCATATGAAGGGTGTCCCCTTTCTTCCTGCACTTCCATTTGAAACTTATCGCACAACTCCTTTCATTTGGCCAACTTCATCGGACAATTACACACAGGACTAGTCAGTCCTGCAACATGCAGACGACGTTCTGGTGCTCACCCATTCACAGCTTTCAGCGAAACATTAAAAAAAAAAAAATACACATTTATTCTCACCATTAACATGAACACTGAAAAACACACATCTCAAAGAATCAGGAGAGCATAAGAAACGTAACCATATGACAGCAACACAACTAATCATGTAAGCCGCAACCCTGACTTACAAAATCACAGGGGCACATTGCTCCAATTGCAGCACTATTTGATAATGGAGTGCAAGTTTTTGGGTGAAATTACCTCCTCTATATTATGACATCACGTTCATGACCAATTATGAACCATTAAAATTATTTCATTAGTGTATTTTTTTTTTAATTTATTTATATCACCCATACTATGCTTTTGATAAAGTATGTACATTGCTGACCACCCCTCCCCAATGAAACATTCCCCACATCACCACTCGACCCCTCCACTGTGGATTTCCCCTCGCCGGAGTGACACCAAGTGCCGGTTTAAACAGCTTCCTTAAGTTGTACCTTGTCAAGTTGTGTATACTTCAGACAAACAAAATCTCTAAAATTGTAAAAGTATCAAAAGGGTTTTATTTTGTAGAATATTGCTTGAATTAGTACTCAGGATCCACCTAATCTGGAAATTAAACGGTAAATTTAATTTTTTTAAGTTAAGTAGCTTTGTATTACAAAATATGGTGAGAGTAGGGTACACGGTACACCCATAGAGAAGCAGGGCAGCGAGGAGGGAAGAATGGATCCCCTTAAGCCCTCCCTCAAATTACTGACAATGTTAGTCAAAAAAGTTAGGGGGGGCAGTCAGTGTGAAATTTCATACCTTGTCCGCCTTTAGAGTTAGAGAGTGGAGGTGCCAAAAAATGTATAAGATATGCACATTTTCATAGAAATTGCAATCTCCAGAAACATTAAATGTTTTATACTGAAATCTCGTTTCAGACAATTTTGAAATTCCATGCTACAGAGTAGAGGAATGTGAAATAGAAAATCAAAATAGTTTTCTTTTGAATATTATGGCCTACAATAATAACTCCCTCCCTCTCCCTCTCTCCTCTCTCTCTCCTCCTTCTCCCCTCCTCTTCTTCTCCTCCCTCTCCCTCATCTCCCTCTCTCCTCCTCTCTCTCTCTCTCCTCCCTCTCTCTCTCCTCCTCTCTCTCTCTCTCCTCTCTCTCTCCTCCTCTCTCTCTCTCCTCCCTCTCTCTCTCTCTCCCTCTCTCTCTCTCTCCTCTCCTCTCCTCCCTCTCTCTCTCCTCCTCCCTCTCTCTCTCCTCCCTCCCTCTCTCTCTCTCCCTCCTCTCTCTCTCTCCTCCCCTCTCTCTCTCTCCTCCCTCTCTCTCTCTCTCTCCTCCTCTCTTCTCTCTCTCCCTCTCTCTCTCTCTCTCTCCTCTCTCTCTCTCTCTCTCTCTCTCTCTCTCTCCTCCCTCTCTCTTCTCCTCCCTCTTCTCTCTCTCCTCCCTCTCTCTCTCTCTTCCTCGCCTCTCTCCTCTCTCTCCTCCTCTCTCTCTCTCTCCTCCCTCTCTCTCTCTCCTCTCTTCTCTCTCTCTCTCTCTCTCTCTACCTCCTCTCTCTCTTCTCCCCTCTCTCTCTCTCCCTCTCTCCCTCTCTCTCTCCTCCTCTCCTTCTCTCTCTTCCTCCCTCTCTCTCTCCTCCCTCTCTGTCTCTCTCAGCCTTATGCTACCATTTTAATTAATTAAATTAAAAATATAATAAATGAAAGATGTTATATTCTAAAAATTCTTACAATAAATGAAAATATGTTTTATTAATAATATATTGATTGAATCATGTAGATTATGAAGAAAATCTGATCTATAGTATATTCTAGAATCCCAGTTGGCGCAGTATACTTGGAGCCTATGCATTATCCACCACATCATGTGCTCAGAATGTCAGAAATTTTCTCATCTATACATTGTTCTTTCATTAAAAACTTCTCCCCAACATTATTATGCGCAGTCAGCACCACCAACTAATTCTGACGTTAATTAAAACAAATTTTAATGTATAACACAAATACAATTAATACGACTCAATTCTGCTTTACAAATGCGTTCTACTTATTGAAATTGGGGGACGTGTCACAATCATTACGTAATTGTAAGAGGGGGTTCGAGCGTACATTACAAGGGGGAGAGGGGGTATTCAAAACACTCCACATTTGTTTGATGAAATTGCTAAATACAATTTCGTATCATCTGCATACTTAACTCATTCACTTCAACTTTTTCCCCCTGATTTAAATGCCTCAGCCTACCTTGTTTCTGTTTAAAAATTATGGAAGGTCTAGGAACTACCAAATTTCAATACGATGTCAGAATAAGCCGTAAATTAAAATTGTTATATTCGTTCCAAGAACAACTCCATTTTTACTAGGTGCTTTGTACTTCGATTCGTATTTGTTTGACCAGACACACAACGGAAATGATATTGATAATTTCACTGTCACTCTCTCCTGGCACTACAATTACCTCACTACTAACCTTGCTAGAACTATTTTCTGAAATCTCGTCACTATTTCAGCCCTTTGAGATCTCGTGCTACCATTGGCAACAAAGTAATAACTGATGAACATGCACTTACAAATGTAAACAAAACATACCCCATACTGCACTCTGTAATAACATTAAAGACGAAAAAATGCCCAGTGTCATGTGCAAAAATGCCCAGTGTAATTTCCTAAACTGTAGAAGGTATTCCCAGAGTGGTCAATTGGATTGTAATAACTACAAGCAACTGCAGCGAACCCGACATGCTTACGTCTCCAAGGTTTCACAAGACTGGAATAACCTTTTCAGTCAGGATGTTTGGAAGTCGTCAAAAGACATGAATGGGTTAATAAAAATGACAAGTTTTTCACCAATGTCATTAATTGTGATGCCAAACAGCAAAGGCTCCAAAAATCTCGGATCTGGAGCTTTTGTTAAATAATGTTCCAAATAGGGTACAAGCCCATTTAGGAGCTAAATAGGCTTCCACCATATCTCCTTGTTTCTTCTCAGCTGTGTAATTAAAAAGAGATGTATTATGATGCCTTTCTTTATAAATGTGGCAATTGTTATATTCTCTTAGAATTTTTGTAGGATGACTGTGCACCAACTCTAAATGGAATACATCCTTTTGGTAGTGGTGGGACCACACCGCATTTGCACATTCAGGCAGAGGCCTGTTATATGTAATGTGTTTAAAATTTATTTTTATTTGTTGATTTACATTGATGTATAATGTAGTGAATTAAAATTATGAATGGCTTTCATTACCATAAAAAACAAATTTGTGAAAATGTATTGTCAGGTTTTGGGAAAGTTGGAGATCCACTCTACCCTCCTTGTAGTCCAGTTCGCTGCTATTGGTACCTTAAAATGTCTATTCATCATATAAAATACAAAAAATCACTGAACAGAAATATTGAAACCACAGAGTGAACTAAAAGGGCTCCTAGAAAGATACTCAAGCTAACATTAAAATGTGTATGAAGCAAAATTTTTGATTTCTCTAATTACTCTCTGCATTGAAAGATAAAGATACATTGTCAGGTTTTAAGAAAATCTTTTGAGTGATTCTAAAACTATGTAATTTTGACTTCATTTTCACAGAAAACTTTTTGAGTTTTTGAGGAACTTTATTGGAAATCATTTGGAGCACTTGTACTCGCAAACAGGAATGCATAAAAAAATCACCTGTAGTGTAAAAATTAATGATGAGAGATATTTAAAAAAATTACATTTGTGTAATTTTAAAACTATAAAAAAAACATCAAAATGGCCTCGTGTTATTCAGTATATTGAGCACTATCTGTTCAAAAAGTTAAAAGAAAAGATTTGGTACCTTTTTTGGAAAAATCTTGTTTTTAACATTGCTCATCTTACAATCAAAATTGCATGAAAAAAACTAATTGTGGTGAAAAAATTTCATTGGAAGAAAAATTCTTTAACCTTTAATATTGTAGTTGTACGAAATGCCAAAACTTAACATATAATTATTGAATATAATGTTGTGTAGGCAAATGTTTCCATTCAACTGTATTGTAATTACCTCAGACACAGACTTACTTAGTTATGCTCCTGGCAGGAGGTCGTCCTGGATCCCCCAGCAGTGGTGAAGATGAGCCTGCGCCAAAGAAGACTAAGCCAGAAGGACTGCTGGGCAACGGACCAGGTTCTGTGCCTGGCTCCAGTGCGGTTCTTCCAGGCATGATGCCCCCACATCCTCAAGGCCCTATGCCACCCCACCCCATGGCTCCTCACATAGGGCAGTTTGGCCCTCCAATGGGACACCCAATGATGGGGCCCATGGGCCATCCGATGGGACCACCCTTTATGGGGCCTGGGTGAGTATAATCAGTGCCCATGTGCACCTGAAATCCAATATCAGCTAACAGATGTGTGCTGGCATTGTCAGGTTTTAATATTTCATCTGCATGGACCCACAATTCTAGTTGTTTGTGTTAATGGCCTATCAAATTCAATTTCCTGCAGGCGGTACATGAAATTGTTTTTGTTTCAGAATGCCAATGATGGGACCAGTTGGTTCTATCCCTCCACCACCAATGAACATGGCTGTGAGTTCAGGAAACACTAATCCTTCTCAGAGCAAACCTTTATTTCCCAGCACTGCAACTGTAAGTTTGATTGTTTGTTGTTGTTGTTATTTCTTTTACATAGAATCTTGACTAATTTATGGAAGGGTATAATGAATGAAGAATGAAAAAGTTTACAGCAAACTTAATTTCTTAAAAAGTTGTAAAATCCTAGAGTGATTTTGAAGCTTGTGCCATTGCCTTTTGTTGCCTGAATCAAGAAGAAAGTATTTAGATTATTCACTGTAGTTGTAGTAGTGTTTTGTTTTATTTTATTTTTATTTATTTTTGAGTTGTGTTCTTCATTTAACTTGAAGGGCGATGCTAAGTACTATGAGATCATTTTTCATCTTAACAGTAATAAGGATTGAAATTTGTACTTAAAAGTTATTAATCTTAAATTCTGGTGAAAGGGGAAATGTGACTCATCATTTTCAGGCATCACCTTTCATTTTTATTCTGTAAATTCTGCAATTAGTTCATAAAAGGATATTTTTTCATGTATATATTTTTTGGCATTATAGCCTACTACCACAAGCAGTGCAGCTCCAGTTGGTGCAGATTTCAAGCCAATATCTTCAGCAAATACACAGATCGGACCAATCAAACCCACATTTCCTGCCTACAGGTTTGTATTTTTAGGATCTCTGTTTAGATTATCAACTAATTAAATCATCTGGAAATCAAAGGGTTAACGTGATTCAAAATAAGCAAAGTGTTTTATTGCCAATCAGATTTAGAGATTATTGCATTTTATCAATTTTTAGTTTAAGGCCTGATTTTCTTCGATTTAGAAAGTGTGTTTTTAAGATATATTTGCTTAAGCTTAGAATAATATTATTGCGTAATATTCATTACTCTTGTTGGCATTTAGCAAATTTTATTAATAGTAATTTTAAATCTGTATTTCATAATGTTCATAATCTGTTGTTGGTTAAAAAATGAATCTGTATCTGTAAAAGTTGACTTATGTTAGAATTAAGTGCATGTGCAATTGGTCATTTCTAATCATTTACAGATTTTTTGTTACCAAAATTATTTTGTTTCTGAATTGTGCTAATTCGTATTTGTATTCACCATACAAAGTTATGTTTCATTGGTTAATTTTCCCAGATCATAATCATGGCCCTGAATGGTTATGATTGAATAATAGTTGCCTTTTAAATTAAAACTAAATTATTTTATACAATTATATTTAAAAAATGTTCACAATTCTTGGCCAAATAATAGTTTTTTTGTTTTGTTTTTATGGTATTACCATATTTACCTGAATATAAGGTGAGTTTTTTTTACGAAATATCTCAGTCGAAAAATGCAGGGTTGTCTTATAATCGCAGATTAAGCCTAGTCTGTTAGGATGTAAGTTTCTACAGAGCCATTTCATATCACAAAACTCGTAAATGTTGGCGTAACAATAAACTGCGAAGACTGTCAAAATATCACGTATAACAATATGTAATTACTTTCCCATTCATAATCTTGATAACTATCAGTCTCAACTGTGGGAATAACAAAGTTATGTTCAATGGCTAAATTATTTTCCAATATTTCTGCCTGAAAGAATGTCTGCCCAATGATAATGAAACACTGAAGCTTACTGTTCAGAATTGTTCCTATATGAATGCTTTTTATTATTTCTAGGTTCTGAATTCACCCTTAAAGTTTTTCTGCTATTATCTCGCATGTATATTGAAGGGTATGTTTCAACACAATGTTTTAATTATCAAAAATGTGAATAAGATTTCTTGGGAATTATGTAATTCCATTTTCATAAGTTCAAAAAATGATTTGAAACTTGTGATTACTTGTGTTAGTATGTATGTTTCAGCAATGTTGCATTCATTTTGCTTTCTTCCTTTAATTGCATGTATAAAACAGTGTCTACTTACAAATGTTTTATCAAATATTGAACATCACATTGCATGTGCAAATGCAGACGCAGTTGCATAATGGAATATATGTGCAAATAAGAAGTAACTCGTCTTATAGATTCTTCAATCCCCCAACACGCACAATGGTTGAAGTATCTGGATTCTTGGATGTGCATCTGTGTATGTCCCCACTTATTTACAGTGCCTACATTTTCTTATTCATGCATAAGAGCACCTAAAATATATGGTAGAGACATACAATTGTAATGGTTTGAATACCAAGATATGATTTGGCTTTTTCTCGAGCACTAAATTATGTATGTGTATAGACAATTCCTTCATTGTTACCACAAATGTTAATTTGTATAAAAAAAGTTCAATAGTTGAGTTTTCAAAAAATGATATTCAGTCAAATTCTCCATTTACGTTCCTGCAATTTACGCTTTCCTGACATTTACAACATTTCCCATCAGTTTCCGTATATTCATAATGTTTTAAATTCCCTGTTTTTATGATAGTAAATTCCAATTTTCTTGCTATTTACTACAGTCTGCTTGCCACAACACCATCTGGAACGTGCTTTGATACCAACACTCGTCTGCTCCACGCGTTGCATGTTGAAAGCTAGAAAATGCATGTTTTCTTGACTTCCACTCTCATTTGAGCTTTGGGCACAACATAGAGCACATATGATAAAATGTTTATCTACTCCTTATTGATTGTGTGAATCTAAATGCATTATACTGTACTCATTGTTTTGAAGATAAAAATAATTTCCCCTTATATATATACTTCTCGCAATTTACAGTTTTCCCTGGGGTCCCATGAAAAGTGTTAAAAGTTGTTTTACTGTAGTTTACTCACTGGGATTTAATGCCAATTTTGCTTGTTCTGACACAGCACCATCCACGTGAATTTTGAATGTGAAGTGTGGATTTATTCTACCAATAACACAGAAAGCGAGTATTGTCATAAACACATCGAATACCTTCAAGCGGAAAGGTGTCATATTTACCTCTTGAAACATGTAGGACACAGATGTTTCACTACACTTGTCCAATTTCACAATGAGGCTCAGGCGCTCAACCTGTGCTATTAACATAAAGCATTCTCAAGTCTGCCCAACGCATTTCCATGTAACTTGAAGACTGGGTCCATGTCTCAGTCTATCAGTATATATTTAAAACATTGTGTATTTACAAATTAGTCTGACTTTTACGAGAAAGTAAATAATTATGTGGACCATTGCCTTATGCACTCACAATGTAAAAATGAGAACCATAGCAACATTCATTTTCACGTCTTTTCTTGCACACATGCATACTTCTGAGAGAAGCAGTACATTATTTGTACAGCATTGCAACAGTTGCTACTTTCACATTTTCTAAGTTGACCCTCTTGTAAATGAAACTTTAAAATTTTGATGATTTCTAATACCCCAAAAATCTCCAAAACCTTTTCCATAAGATGTCAGTAATGTCACATAATGTGAACATTGCAGAGTACAACATTTTGTTCATAACTCTTCTTTAAACATCTCTTTTTTTTCTTTCTCAATATTTACTAACATCACCCAATTCATTTCGATTGTTGTGTCACCACCCAGTAGGCAAAACAACATACAGAAGCTTATTCATTAGGATGGCAACAGATTTCAAGTGAAATACATATGCTGGGTAGATACCCCCTTCGTAAACTAGTTCAAAAAATGTTTAGTTATTCTCCTAAATGCAGGCTTACAGTGTTTGCAATTGTTCATCATGTGTTCTCAGTGAACTCCCAGAATTTAAACTATGGCACAGAATTCACTTTTGTAAGTGGTACATTCTTTAGAACTTTCTTAATTTCTATTGTGAAATATAAGAATGACTCGTTTGAGTAAATTTGTTACAGAAGGAAATAAGATATAAAATTATTTCTCTGGTCACAGTTGAGGTCACTGCCTTCAATAGAATTTTAGCTTTCTGCCATTTTGAAATAAATTAAAATAATTCATTCCTTTCTTCTCTTGTCAGCTTTTCTATCAGGTAATAATTGAAATCAATTTTATTTCCTGCTGTTGCTTTGAACTGTCAAGAAAAGAAACCAATTTTATGAAATACATCAATTTATGTTAGAAAGGAAGGAATATAGATGACACTACATTTGGGGTGTTTTAAGAGAATTTGTTTTTTTATCATCGAATTATGACATCCAGTGCCAAAGACTGACTTCTGTTGCTGCCAGCAAAAACAGTTGTGGAAGCTAGTGAACTATTTGATTCTTCTCTTAGTGTAATAAAATGTTGGTGGCTCTATAGTTGCTAGTCGTTTTTCAGATGCACAATGCATGCTCTTGCTGTCCATTATCATCTAAAATATGTTTGTACTTACTACACTACTTTTCTTTGCATTAATATAAGTTGTGTAACTATTATAATACGTTGACATTGTTCAGGATGAGTTTCAGAAACAAAAATCATTTCGCAAAGAGAAGAAAAACTCATCATTGCCTTCAATATTATAAACAGTTTTTAATTCTAAAAGTTATTGACTACAAAATAAAAAAAATATTAATGTTTAAATAATTGTGTATAATAATTCCTCCAACTTTTTTTTTTTTTTTTCCAAACATTGTGATTGATTCTCCTTTTATTTTTTCGTAAATGATTTGTCTCATTGTATTTATATGAGGCAATAAAATAATACAATACTATTAATTCCTGTGTATTACATCTAAGACTTTTTAAATGTGCGAGTAGTCTTAAAAAAATAAAAATGCTCCTTTTTTTAACATTGTGTTAATTGTTCTAGAGCTATTTTAAGCTGTGTTTTTAGAAGTACCTTATTTTGTTTTTTGCATTTCATTTTGCAGTACTGCTGGTAGTCAGAATAATCAAACAACATCAACACCTGCATCAGGGGAAGGCCAGCAAAAAGTAGTCCTAATAAATACAACTGGTGCTTCAAGTAAGATAATACATCCTCAAGAAGATATTTCTCTGGTAAGATATTACATAATTGGAATTCTTTTTCTTCCTCTTTTTATTCTTCTTCAATTTTCAGCAAGTTAATGAAGTAAAACTTCACCTGCAAATGTTTCTGTAGCTCAGGCAATTTTGATTTCTTTATTAATATGAAAATAAAAATTTTAGTTTTGCCTTATTTTAGTTTTTTATTTCGATTTTGTCATAACAAAAAAGAAAAAGAAAGTAGTTTGCCAGTTGTGTTATTATTTATTCTGATGAGAATTCTGTAAGGTTTCAAAAAATTAATATTTTTAAATCAGAATGTTTTATTTTAAATTAAATTTAATTGTTAACTAGCCATGTTTGTCAGAAAATAATCTCGTAAAAAAGATATGTTCAATTATTTAGGAATCCCATATTTTTACTTTCTCGCTTCGGAGTTCAGAGCAAGTTATGCAATGTTGCGTGAAAAAAACAGTAAATTTTTGGCAGAAAAAATCTTATTACAAGGCCTTGGTAACAAAGTTTATAAATGAAGTTGCTGAATTTAAGGGGGGGAATCCTCTAACACGTGGTGAAGCTAGATTCTGTGATTTGTGGGTCTTTATACCCAAAAATTGAAGGACTGCAAAAGTCTATCCATTCATCTAAGAACAATGCTAGCAGCTAAACGGTTCAGCGGATTTTTTCAAAATTGATATTCCCTAGTTGATCTGGCTGCTGTCTCATCCCCTTGAATTTGAAACCAATATTTTAATTTTGGGGGTTGTTTACATGAAGCCCATAGAACATTTAAAAAATATGGCTTCATTGTTTTTGATTAAATTTTGTTGTTTAATAGTGAGATGGATGTTTAAGATAATGGTGGTGGTCTCGTGTTTGTTGAAAACTCCGATTTTAAGATAAACCCACGACATATTGGCATCTCAAAATGATTTATCAGGAAAGGAAAAAAATCCAGAACAGTCGTAGGAAAAGCAGAACATGTGGGGGTTCCTAAATTATTGCAAGGCCATCTGTTTTGACTGCAGTCAGTGTCCTTATTTTATCATGATTTTCCAGGAGGAAATTCGTGCAAAATTACCCAAATATCAGAGAGCACCACCTGTAAAAACGGTGGATTCTTCAACTTCCACTCCCCAGGCACAAGTTGAGGTAAGTCCTGAGAACACCCATCGAACCTCATGACCTCATACTTGAAAATAAATTCAGGACTAATTGTAGAGAGAATAAAAACATTTATTGAAGTTACTAACCTCATCAGGAAAAGGTTCAAAAATCAGATTTAAAAGTATGAAGTAGCAAATTCAAAAATTACTGTAACACAGTGTTATTGTGGAAAAATTTAGAACAATTTTTTATCTGTAATTTGGATATATTCACAACTTTATTTCATAAAGTACTTCCATTTTTGTCCTTTGTTGGATTAATTTTGTTTAGATTCAGAATATTTGCTCATTAATTCTGTCTTTTGTATCAATAAATGTTTACATACATACACATATATGTTTGGTTTTCACACTCATTTAGTTATCAGAGTAGTTACGTACCCTCTTTAAGTTAATAAATTTTATATTACAAAACTGATATATTTTTACACGTGTAAAAGTATAATAATAATTAATGAAACAACTAAGTATATGTGAAGTGGCTTCCAGATTAGAAGTTACGTAATGAGAAAATTTGTCTTGTAGGAGGATCGCAGAGCTATTCTGCCTTCTTTCCAGCCACGCCCGCCCATGACAGTGCAGATGCCCTCCGTGTCAGTGGCTCATCCCATTGCACCTCCTGTGAGCAGTGTAGCCATCATGTCCTCTATGGCTGGGCCACCCATCATGCGCCCTGCAATGCCTCTTGGCCCACCCACAATGATCGGAGGTAACGTGAACATGATGCGGCCCCCTCCCATAGGGCTTCCTCCAGGTAAGTCCCAAGAGGTGCTGCTCTGTGCAGGTTGGTTTACATAGCATAAAACATTCTGTATATATTCATTTTTCTTGAAACATGACATAAGGTGTGTGCGTTGTTGTTTTTAATGCTGTAATTTCAAAAGACAAAGTATTGCATATCTGTGTGCTTACAAGTTAACTTAAAAACTTCTTATTACTAATAAAAATGTGGGATTTTAAAACAGTTTTTTCTTGTTCACTTTACAATTAGCAGCTGCAGAAGAAACTAGTTAGTAGTTTCAACAGCTCTAGTTCAAACAAATTATGACAACTGAATATCATTGAATTCTAGTGAAGTTTTAAGCCTGCACTTTTACATCACCTATAAAGTCTTGAAATCCATAATTGATTTATAGTCAAAGTGTGTCATTTTACCAAAGAAAATGTAAATAAAGTGCCTTTTTGTAAAGTGACAGTAGGACTCCTATCAGCATGAAGTATTGTAAAATGAACAAGTTTACATTCGAAACTATTAATGTTTGCGACTTTGTTTTCTTTTATTTAATATTAAATGGCTTTTGAGTCCAAATACAGAATATATCCTTTGCTTATTCTTATACTTTCTTGACGTAAAGATTTTCAACAAAATTAAAGATATAAGTCAGAGTTTGACTATAAACTGTATGTTTCAAATTTCTTGTAATTGATAGTAAATTTGCTACATAGGTTTCTTCTCATCTTGAATTAGGCATAATAGTATTTCAACAAAAATCATTATTCCATAGTTTTGATGGTAAGATATGTAAGGAATGTAATAATGCATTTTCACCATATTTCACGCACACCTCTCTGCAAATTAACACCAATTTCTTGCACTTCCCACTGCTACTAGTACCATGTGCACTAACCCAGACTTCACGTGTACACTGTGTGAGCACATCAAAGAGCAGCAACACATGCATCCCACCCACATGCGGACACATGCCGTGTGCAATAAGTGCATGCTGCTCACTGAGATGATTCTCGCACGTGCCACACAGTATGTCAAACCACTGCATGCAGACACATGAATCTCTGCATGTATCCACACAGGCTTTGCTTGCAGGCACACCATGTGCATGCCCCTGCACCCCCACCTCTATAGCAACCCAGCACCTGCAAGTGGATGCCCATATCAGCACATGCCAATTACCAAATCCCCGCCTATGCATATCCACACGTACTGCGTGGCACACCACCCTCCCCTTACTACCACATGCACACGCCCTCCTACATACTACTACATGCACACGCCCTACCCCATTACTATACATTGCATGCGCCTGCACCCCCTCCCCATACTACTACATGCGCGTGCACCCCCTCGCCATACTACTGAATGCCGTTGCACACACCCTCCCGCCATACTACTACATGCGCGTGCACGCCCTCCCCATACTACTACATGCGCGTGCACCCCCTCCCCATACTACTACATGCCGCGTGCACCCCCTCCCATACTACTACATGCGCGGCGCACCCTCTCCCCGTACTCCTAGAATGCGCGCGCACACTTCCCCCGTACTACTAATGTGCGCGCACTCTTTCCCCCATACTACTACATGCCCACGTTCCCCCTCATTATACTACTGCACGCGCACCACTGCAGGCGCTCCCTCCGCCCCCGCACCACTGCAGGCGCCCATCCCCCCCCCGCCACACTGCAGGCGCATCCCCTCCCCCGCACTACTGCAGGCGCATCCCCTCCCCCGCACTACTGCAGGCGCGTTCCCTCCCCCGCACCACTGCAGGGCGTCCCCTCCCCGCACCACTGCAGGCGCCCCCTCCCCCGCACCACTGCAGGCGCGTCCCCCTCCCCCGCGACCACTGCAGGCGCGTCCCCTCCCCGCACCACTGCAGGCGCCTCCCCTCCCCGCCACCACTGAGGCCCGTCCCCCCCCGCACCACTGGAGGCGCCGTCCCCTCCCCCGCACCACTGGAGGCCCGTCCCCTCCCCCGCACCACTGAGCCCGTCCCGTCCCCGCACCACTGGAGGCCCGTCCCCCTCCGCCACCACTGGAGGCGCGTCCCCTCCGCCGCACCACTGGAGCGCGTCCCCTCCGCCGCCACCGCTGGAGGCGCGTCCCCTCCCCCGCACCCGCCCTGCAGGCGCGTCCCCTCCCCCGCACACGCTGCAGCCCATCCCGTCCCGTCCACCCGCACCCCCTGGCAGGCCCGTCCCCTCCCCCGCACCACTGCAGGCACATCCCCACCTCACACACCACTGCATGCATCCACCCCAACCTTCACTGGCGCTGCTTGCACAGATAAATGCCCCGTGGAAAATGCACAACATACACTTCCCTGCATCTCATTATACACATACACCACTGCCACGTATGTACTAATGCGCATGCACACTCATACACACAGACCTTGGTTCACACAGATCTTTATCATAGTGTTCAGCAACATATTTATTATATTGGTATACGAAGTCAAACTGTAATACATTGTACTTGAAATGACTGTACCATATGTAGCAAACCCCTTAAATTTATCTTTAAATTCTTTTAACTTATTTAACCCATCCTAGTTAAGCTAGTTATTTTTGTGATTAGAAGAATTTCAAAATTTAGTATGTGGTAATAATCTTCCCAATCCAGAATCTCTAGTATTCCACAAAATTAAATAGGTATGACAGGAAATATTTAAATTAATAGTATGATAATAATAATTATGTAGCCATTTTGTTTACCCATGAAACCACTGTATTCACCCAAATATAAATCTATTCTGAGTTTGACATCTCTCTAATTTTGGAGTGGCCTCCTCAGAACTTTCTAAATTTTAAACTAATTCTTACTACGTGGTCAAAACCTGTTATCTTTTTTCTTAAAATCATAATTGTAGTTTTTATCATTATCCTAATCATTTTCACATGTATCATGTTTCTTTCTTTGTAGTCTTCCTTTCAAGTTGCGACCTACTCTGACTTTTAAGACGCGCTGATGCATTGTTCAGTTTTTCACCTGACGCCACCTAAAAGCATTGACTATCTTTTAAAACATGAAACAAAGATTTCTTTGCCCGACATTACTTGGTCTTATATTTAACTTCCAATTAACTTTCCGTTACATCAATCTGTAATTTTTTCACTGGACTAATAATTGCCACATGCCTTCCAGATTATGTTAAATATTACCAATATATTCTTCCATATTAATGATTATTGAACTTTTTAAGATTTGCTGTTGACACTCGGAAAGTTATAAACTTTGCTTACACATGACCACCATGTCCCTTCTCTCTCTGTATCCACAATTTGCCCTCACGAAGGTTTCTGCCATCCTCAAAATGATTTCTGTCACACTTCACCTTTCTGGAAACTCTCTACATATTGTTTTTGTCAGCTTGTTATTGGCTTAATGTCTGAAGTGACTTGAGTTTTATCCTAGAGACATTCATCAGAAGTGTGAAAGATAAACCTAATATTGTTTTCTTGTTCACCTTTGTCTCTTTTCATCTGTTACCTAAAGCTTTTCTAATTTATTTTGTGATAGACTAACAATGTTTATATTTTATTCTGTAAATAAATATTTTTGCTACTTAACAAGTAATATTTTATAATTGTACACCCTGGGTATTTCGTTCTTAATATGGCAGGATTTAATTATTCAACCATCTGTATTTGGAAATTCTAGTCATTTTTCAAAATATCAAGAGGTGTGGATTACCTCAATATAATTTCACTGTTCTTTCTAATGTACTTGTATTTGTGTTTTCTTATTGTTATTACTTCTAAATCAATAAATTTAATGGTTAAAAAGTGTTATCTTTAATAATAAACATTATCTTCCATGTTGTATGTTTGATAATAAATGGCTTTTTACACTTGCAGGTATAATTGGAGCACTCCCTCCTGGAGCTGTGCATCATTACGCAGCAGCTGCTCCCCCTATGGCTTTCCCAGCCCCCCCAATGCTGACTCCTATGATGCCTCCGCGCTTCAGATGATCAGGTTTGTTGGGGGGGCTCTGGCTGCTGTGGTCTAATGACCCTAGGCTTGTGCCTCTGGCTCCTTGCCCCTTGTAGCATGCCAATGAGGGTTGCTGCAAAATTCACATACGATTGCATTTTCATCTGTTATACACTGTCCATGCTGAAGAATGGACCAGCAATAGTCCACAAATAGCAAATGTTATGCTTTCCAGAGCAGTGTGTTAAAAATTATGATTTGATTTAAAACCTTATGTACAATTTTTTTACTGTATTGACTGTTTAAAAAGTTATTATTACAAACTAATTGTGTAATAATTATTGCATTTGTGCAGTGTATCAATGTATTAAAACAGTTTGTTCATTTGCCTCAAACTCAGGTACAAATTGCTTTCAGGCAATTGTGAAATTGCTTGCAAACAATTTTTAATATAAATCTGAATGAATTACTTACAGGCAATATTTTTTATTAAAATAATCATTTTTATAATGACTGAACCTTGAATAGTGTAGTTTTAAGTTTCCCTTTCAAAGTTCAGAACATTATTAATCATATTCTTTCATTACTGAAGCAATCACGAAAAAATCTAAGATTAAATGCCATCCATCGATTTATTACTCAACAGCACTTTTTGCCCAGTAGAGTTCTGTGGTACCTTGGAGAATTTTAGCCTTTGTAGTTAAAGAATAATATTAAAATCCTGATTGTGTCAAATAAGAGTGAAAGGAATCCCTAAGGTATGCAGATCAGTAGGATTCAGAAGTTAAAGCATGATCTGGTCACCTGCAGATTAGTGGGAAATTTGTCTTTGAATTTCTTCTTGTGTGGTGTTAGTTAAAAGGTCCCTGCTTCATTTACTTAACTAATGTCTATGCTGGTACTGAAGTTTTTTGATCAGTTTCTTTGTGATAAGAGGTTTGTGGATCCTAATTTGTTTTGTCTGCCATATGTAGATTTTCATAAATGGTGTAGATGTTTTCTGAAATCCCTTTAATGGTGGTGATAGGACTGTAAAATAGTTAAAGAAAAAGTTGGTAAGAAGTAGAGCTAACATCTCCTGACCATCTACACAATGTTTTCCTTGATAAAATAAATATTTTCTGATGTATGGATTTAAAGCTCTGGGACACGAGTTTCTTTCTAACAAATGCTTTGTCACTAAACATTATAATTGAAACAAATTAATTCTAGTTCCCTTTCACATTTTTCTTCAGCAAAGAATGGAAGAAGAAAAGAGTAATAGATTTTATGCACTGCAGCAATAAAAAACAACATATTTCCACTATTGTTTGGGTCCATCATCCTGTTCAAATATTATTTTCTTCCATTTCAGACCATTTTCTAGGTTGAAAAAATATTTACAGAAGCTTCAAAATTTTCTGTGAAGACAAGTGAATATTTGATTTGTCACTGATTTAATGAATAACACAGTTACAAAATTTTCCTACCTAACTCCTTTCTCTACTCGCTTCTTTCCACTTTCCCTCTTTTCCCTTTCCTCTTCTTGCCCTTTATTCCCTTGCCTTTTTCCCCATTCCTACTCTTTCCGTATGTTTTGTTGCGTTTCTCCCTTTTCTCTTTCTGACCTGGCACTTCCCTTTTATTCTTGATCATATTGTCACCTTCCCTTCCCTTATCTTATTTTTTATTCTGATTTATTTTATCTAAGCCTATTTTAAATTAATTGCTCAGAAAAGATAGTTTACAGCCAGGACACATCGTGTAGGCTAAACACGTCATTCAATAATTAGTTCAAAAATTATTTTATGCAGAGGAGAAATGAGTAGTGCAATGTTACATAGTTATTATTCTTTTCGTTTGATAAAAGAATTGCACTAGATTTATGTGGTATTAAATTGTGATCACACATAATCCTATTTATTGACTACATGAAGTTTCTATTCTAATAAATTGCTTGGAAGTGTAAAAATTAAATTGAAAATTCTTCTCTTTGAAATTTGATGTTACTGCATAGTAAAAGAATAGTAAAGTTACTTTTCTGTCATCTTTTCAAGCATTCATTCAGTACCTGCAAACATTTTTTTTATTGCATTGCATTACAGAGAAGTAAATCACTCTTCAGAACATGGGAAGTTAGTACAGCACTTAAATAGGTCATTTACATAGCTCACATTGCTTCGTATGCTTTTATTTATGCAATTATAAAAGTCATCTTGAGCATTAAGTGCACAAGTGGACATAAACTGCACATAAAAATGTGGTGACTGGATCATTGCCATTGCGTGAATCTTTTTATAAACACCTGGTGATGTTTCCCTCTTGTGCAATGACTTTCATTCAGTGCTGCTAAATTTATTCATATGTCACTTTGTTTAGGTTGTGGGTGTACTTATTTAGTGACAGAGTAAAGTATATTAAGTTATTCTTTGTTAGCATGACTTAAATTTCCCAAAAAGAAATGCAACACAATTTTTTTCAGCACATAAGTTATTCAATTGTTTCTGTGGTATACTACATTGCTGAGTGTAAAGACATACCTAATTAGCGAGATTGAAGTAGAAAATATATTTGCACTTTTTCTGAATGATTCAAGAATAAAGTGTAAGTTAAGATTGTGCACGTGCTGCAATCTCTGTGTGATGTAATTAAAAGTTTGCTTTGAAAATTTGTTTAAAAAGTGTAAAGAATTCTAGTTTTGATTTTGTATTCTTTGGATACACATTAGAAATAATCTTTCTTGCATTATTTCTGCCGCTGTCTGTTCTTTAAATTCTGTGCAGTTGTAAATTTTTCATACAGTAAATGCTTGTTAGTTTCTTTTTAGTTAGTTTTGCGGACATCTTTCAAGATTTTATATTACATTTACCTGAATGTTTCTTTGTAGAAAATTATAGACAACCTTTCTTTTTTTTCTGTTTGTGTAATTTTAAGCCACATTTGTAAACACACAATCCATAAGCCTTTACAGATAAGCATATATACATCATAGTCCCAACAGTTTGAAAAATTTGCTTTGGATTAATGGAAGTAACAATCTGTAGATCTTAGTTAGCTTTATGCAATTGAAAAATCTCTGTAATTTCAAGTCACATTGGGATTCCAGACTGACACCTTCAACTTGTAGAGAACCTTGCAGGCTGGCCCATTGCTGTTGGCATAGTTATAAATTATTAGATCCAAGAATTGTTACAAATTGAAATAGCAATAGTTTGTATAAACTTTTTCATTTGCTAATCACTATTTTCAGTGTATCTCCTCACTCATCATTTGTACTGCTGATATCAACATCTCCCATTAATCCTGAGAAAATTCATAACCTCCACAGTTACTAGAGAACTGCTTTCTGAATGTTTTAAAACTTTCCTGCGAGGTATGCATCAAGTTTTCTTGTTTGCAAACAATCAGATCCAGATTTATTCATATAAAAAGTCATCAGGTTGTCTTGTTACTAGGCATTCTCAGCAAATTATTAGTTTTTGTACGTTTTGTGTCAATGGGGAATTTTCTATCATAGGTCCTGTTAGTATGTCCTTCTCAGACAAAACTGGTTTTACCTGAATGTACGAACATAAAAGACAAAAAATATCTCGTTTGAAAAATAACAGGGTTGTATATAATCACTGATTCGGCCCAGTCAGTTGAGGTCCATATTTTTATATTGCCTTTCCGTGTCAAGAAACTAATGTTGATATAACAATTAGCTGTAAACAGGATAAAAAACATTATTGAACACCAAATTATATTCAGAGACATATTTTTGGTGTCCATCCATCTGTGTATTTGCTGGGTGAATCAGACCAATATTTTTCAACTTGCTGGTAAAGAGGGAATGTCAAACAAATGACATTGTCATAAGTAAACCCAATGCTGGGAAAAATTAAAATCTTAGCAAATATTTGGTTACACAATCCACTGGACAAAGCAATGCAATCTATTTTGAAAGCAATTGATGTGATGAAGCTCCCTTTGATAAAGGTATGCATTCTATATCAGACCACAGAGAAGAATGAATTAAAATACTTTTCATGCTTGGAAACTGCTGTTCTCTCCCACACTAAAAAACAATGTTGAAAATATTACAGAACAAGGCAATAGCGATAGCTCAGGCAGAATACTTTATCCTTGTCATTAGTAAGACAATTTTCTAAGCGGTAAGAAATTTTGTAATTTTATTTTGATTGAATTCTCAGAATTAGTTAAAATGAAGGGGGCTCACTGGTAGCAAGTTGAAAATTAAGGGGATAATCTATTTGTGCTAAATGGTAAATTCTGCATTCCTTGTGTGTCCTTGGACAAATCCAGTTCTTCACTGTGTGCTAATTCTTGTTGGGTAATTGCCCTTGTTCAGTATTAACTGCGAAGTACTCCTATCTGATGTTGAAATCAAAACCCTAAATTACTAAAATAATTTATTTCATTTGAAAATTACAAATATATAAATGAATTATGCACTTTTGTATTGTCTAACTGAAAAGATTTGTGTTGCATTACTTTCTGGATTACTATTATTGCATTGCTGAATAGCAGTATACTTCTCTGCATCATTTTAATTTGAAATAACTCCTTTTAACAAGAATCCTAAATTCGATTTTTTTTTTTTCCACAATACTTCTGATGTTTTCTAGTTGTTTGTCATTTAATCATATTTTTGGACAGCAATGATATATTTGCATTTTATGAATGAGTACAAAAAGACGGTCTTAAGCGACACATTTCCAGTACCGTTAGTTGAGTCACCACAAAATTTATTCAGTTGTTTGCATTCATAGATATTTCACATGTGTTAATCATACATATATTTCAAAATCCATATGAAGGTTAATTTTAGGATCCACTTTTGTGAAAACATTCCGAATTTGTGCAATTCTAAATTTCTAGCTTATTAATTGAAGTAGGAAGTTGTGTGCATGTGTCCTATTTATTTTACCATACTCATAATGATTTACCATTAAAAAAGTACTTGCTTTATTAAAATTCATTGGATACCTAGAAAATCTTCTACGAGAACTTTCATTAATGTGGGTGGGATAAATTATTCTTGAGAAATATGTAAGGCTGCAGTTTTCCAATGCATGATTGAAAACTCGTGCTCAACAAAAATATAGTTTAGGCTAAAGATTATTAATATTTAATAAATCTATGCCACAGGATTTCAGAATCCTCAATAAATTGTGATAATGAAACGTGTAAGTGGGAACCATTTCGTGTAGTGCTAATATGTTAATTTTTGAAGATTTGCGACCAAATTAGGTTGTTCTTCACTGGTATTTCTTTATTATATGCATCAGTCTAGGAGTAGAACTTAATCATTTAAATATCTTCAACTGCATTTGTTTTGAAGTTTTGCATTACTTGGTTGTTCTTGCTTGCTGCATGCTTGACATCCCCTTAATAATTCAGTACACAAATAAATAACAGCCAATACAAGACTGATTTGCAGTTGTAAATGAGGTTCCTGCTTATGAATTGAATCTATTGACCACCTTGTGTACTGTTACCTAGACAGTTGCAAGCCTTGAGTCCGTGTCCCCAAAGGGCACTAGAAGGGCCCGTCTTGTCAGAGCTTAGCTTCTAATATATTCATATTCTGTTGTGAATACAACAGCTCAATACCAATTTTGTTTTTCTGTAGGAAATGGATGTGGTTGTAAATGGAAAATTTGCTGGTCCATTTGGTTAGCCCTGTTGCTCAGAAAAATTCCGAATGTGAACATAATTATTCTTTTGTTTTGAAAATTTATAGCTTTATATCACTTTTAATTTGTAAATTGTATTTTAAATTTTTTTGCTTACATCAGCAGGTTTTTTTGAGTTGAAATGAATGCTAGCCAATTCATGTAATGGGTATTTGCCAGTACGTGTTGGATTTTCTGTTTTTCCATGTTTTTCAACCAGAAAATTGTGTAAATTATCAAATTTTTTATTCTTTGAAGCCACAAGCAAATTTCATGACAAGGGATGAAAACAATGAATTCAGTAATAAGGTATGTCATATGCAGATATTCTATTCTTAACATCGTATGCTCTTGGGGATTAATCAGGAACTTGGTCTACCAGTCTGAAGTTTAAATCATGTGGCAGTTACAGCAGGTAAACATTTTGCTTGCGCTGTCTTGTCTGCTCCACAGCATTTGGTTGTTCCAATGAAGATGGTAGTGATTGCTGTTTCTGATGATTTGTTTCCTTTATGCCACAGGCTGTTTAATTTCCTTGAGTATTTTGATGTATAAGGTAGTCAAGGAAAATTGTTCCATTATATATTCAGGTAAGGGATATTTTAAACTTCTTTAACATTACAAACTGTTTTACTTATTTTGTTATTCACATATAATATGATGAATAAAGAGTTGGCATGATAAAATTAATCTGTGAGAAATTTATCATTGTGTATGGACTTGTTAGGCATATTCCTGTCTTAAGACATAAACTGCGATGATTGCGTTCGGGATTGTGATTGTAATTTCATTAGTTTTTATAATCTATATTTATCATCTGAAATTCAGGGTACAAGATCTTGAATTCCATGAATATGATATTGCCAGGTAGGATTGGTTTTGAAATATTTTGGTGGGGGGAAATCCTGTGTACTCCTTGAAATTATATTAAAAATCTTTTTCTGCATGCACCAAATAGTTGAATTTTTTTCACAAGTATTTTCTAGATTATTTTTTACTCTCAGAATTGCTGCTGGTTTTATTTTTTTAGTGTAGAAAATCTTTAGTTTTCTGATCTTTCCCTACGCTTCCTTGCCCTCCCCTCCGCTCAACGCCAGTGAAGGCTTTCTGAACCCTGGGCAAAATGCTTCACAAAATCTCTGAATGTGCAATAACAGTTATAAAATGTAAATATGAGCAATAAATACTTACCTTTTAATGTTTATTACATAGTTGTACATATTGATATCAATATATGTGTGTTTAGAAATCATTTCTTACTTTGAAGAGCGATCACTTGGATTTCTGGAGCTCATTACTTATTTTCTTATTCCTCTCTTTTCTCCTTTCTTCCCTCCTTTTGCTTTGCTTTCATAGCCTTGAAGATTAGATTAAGGTTAAATGAAACTCTCCACAAGTGATAATATGAAGAAAAATTTACTTTCAACCATAATTCTGGTCCATGCAGACTTCGTCTTGTGTGTAGCATGTTCTCTGAAAACAAATGTATGAATCTGCAAGCTTTAAAAGATTAATGAAGCTCTGAAATAATCTGTGCAGTATTTTAATGTGTATTTTGTTAATTTTTTAGTCTTAAATCTGTGAAATTTACTGTTGAGCAGTTAGTAATTGAAATAGATCCTGAATCAATAGAAAATACAATTAAAGTATACATGTTACATGATGAACTTTTTATAATCTTATAAGAGCACAGTACTAAAATTTGAGTAACATTAACCTCAAAATAAAAATATGTTTCAAATCATTGTTTCACAATCAATAAGTTATTTGCGGAACCTTCAAGAAAGAAAATTTGTGTTAATATACCCAAGGACAACTTCCATACTTTCTTTGTTCATTACAAGGATTACAAATCCTTTTGCAAGACTTAAAAAAGATTTGGAGATATTTGGAATGATAAAATGAAATGTAAAGGATTCAAGGTCAATTTGTTGAAGTCCCTGCAAATCTAAAGAATGGAGTACTTGGACTACAGTACATATCTTTTGAGTCTCAAATTTAGTATTTTTAGTTTAAAAAAAAACATTCAAAAACACTTTTCTAAATTTAATCTCAGACTTGAAAACTTATATTAATGTCTGAACAAAAACAAATTCTTCTGTCCCTTAACCTTGCTCTGATCTGTTCAGCACTCTTCACCTTTCTGCTTGATGTGAATATCATTTTTGTTTTCTAGATCTAGTCTGGATCACTGACATGCTTTTACTGTAATTAAAGATTGATGTTTGCATTTTTACACCTTTTAGTTTGTAAATTTCGTGGAAGCAAATGGTATTATCGTCCAAATGAAATCTTTTCTCCATTTGTAAATACAACTTTAGGATGTTGAATGCTTTGTGAATTCAACTAGGGAGTACTGTTTCTTTTTCTTACTGGTAGATAAAAATATTGACAATTGTGTTGAAAGTTTGATTTTTTACTCATTTTGACACTTTTTCTTTAAGTTAAATGTTCTGAAGAAACATTGACAGCTACTTGTTACCGTGAGTAGAATGTTTTGCAGATTTATGTAAGGGGCAAAATGTCACATTGTTTCTTCATGTTAGTGGTCTAGATGTCTAATTTTCTTTTACTTATGCCTGGGGTTTGTGTAATTTCTCAGCGTTTCAGAGACATTGCTGGTCTTATGTAGCCCATACTTGATTGAGGTCTCTTCAATTCACAGGTACCCCATTTTAAAAACTATGCTCATGCGTTTTATTGTTTGTGCCTTTTCAGGTACACACTGTGGTTGTTCAAACCTTCATTATGTTGTCAGTCTTGTTCCTTTTTAGGAAAGCAATAGTCGGTTGTTTTGTGTAAGCTGAATAAGTGCCAATGATCTGAAACACAAATACGAGGGAAAATGCCCATTGAAAACAGGAGAATTTTTCTGGTTTTTTATAAATTGATCAGGATGACATATAGAATTGAATATTCCTGCAGCTTTTCTGTTGGTGAACCAGGTGAAGTACTCTTAAGTGAGCATTTCTATTTGAGTGGAAAAGAAAGTAAACTTTTTCTCACTACAACACATGGAAAATTAAACATTTTAGTTTAATTTTCAACATAATAAACAAGTCCAAATTGCAGATGTATTAAATCAGCATTTGCAAAGTAATCTTATCCTCCCTTTGGAATAGTTATAATTTAGCAACCTATTTGTACATGCATTGTTATGTGTACAATCCAAAGTGTGTTAATTCACATTGTTTCATATTAAAGTAATGTAGAAACGTTTTGAGTGTGTGTAGAAATAGATCTAATCAAAAGCTTTCTTAAGATGCTTATTAATATGGATTTGTATAGTTTAAAAGAAATTCTATTTGCTTTTCTTAACAAGAAACTCTTGATTTGTCTGAACTGACCAAACTGTGTCAAACATCTAGTGATTCTCTAAATTGATGTAGTTCAAATGTTATTACTCTCACACAGGTCATGTCAACAGGTCTCTGTAATTCCTGTGCACCACTATTTTGCATAAAGAAAAGTAAGATTTTACCTTGATTAAGAGATTGGGGATAACCGATTCTCTAAATTTATAGAAATTGTAATATTTAAAATTTTCACATATTTTGAAATGTTTTTCATACTTTAATTTTAAAAACTTAATATTTTTGCAGTTCATTAGTTTTATGAACTTAAAAACACGTTTTTTAATTTTTATAATTGGTTCTCTCTAGTCTCTATATTCTAATATGAATGTCAGAGTCGTTGTGTGATAATCATCAGAAACCCTGTAGGGTTACAGAAGGTAGTACCAACAATCACAGCTATTTTGGCTGTTGGACTTACATGTCCCCTGTCCAAGAGAGACAGGCGATTGTATTTATTTTTACAAACAATCCTATTGTAGTGATTGAATCTGGTGCCAGATGACAGCTGTTGGACTGGTTAGTCCCTTGTCACCTGACAGGCGATTGTGTTTAATGGAGGCTGCTACTATGAATGGCCCTGTCAATGAACTCAAGAGTAGAGCGCTAAATTTAGTTTCTGTTCTTTCATGGCTCAATAACATTATTGAAGTATTTATGATCAAGTTACTATTCAAAAGAATTGCCAAGGTCATGGAGTGACAGTCTCAACAATCACAGCTGGTGATATGTTGATGCCTCGCAGGCGATTGCCCCTGTGCAATCACAGCCCATTGAAAGCTGTTGGACATCTTCGTCCCCTGCCTTATTTAGACAGGCGATTGTGTTTATGAAAACCAATCACAGCCTAGGGTTGTTGGACAGTTGGTCCCCTGTATGTTGGCTGGTCATTGTTTTACTTCTGCAAATGCACAATGAAAATGTAACTTTTTACAGCCAGCAGCTAATGTAATTTTCACTAAGGCAAGTAATTTGAACATACAATTTATCTATCAAGTGTTCTGCTTTCTGGATGTGTATTGTATTTGTAGTGTTTGTAGATGTTATTCCATAATAAACTATTTTACGTTGAAATGTGACTCTCTTGTTCTTATTGTTTCCATTTTTCGAGTATCTTGAGAAAAACCTCATCAGAAAAATAACCTTCAGACAGATTTATTTCGTATAGAATATAAAATATGAACATTTCATTTTCAAATCAGTATTCCTTGCAATTTGAAACATACTTCAAGAATTGTTAAGAATTCTTGAATTTGTGTTCTAAAATGGGGCTATATTGGTTTTTTAATAAGAACAAGCATCGTGGAGATGGAAAAATTATACCTTTCCTTTTCCAACCATTGTTTGTGCCTTCTTGCATTAATTTTTACATGTGAAACATGTCAAAAATCCTCTCCATGAATTCAATCTGTCCATGATTTAGAAAATTGGGGTGATTATTTATGTTTATTGGATATTATTACATTATCATTTTTATCATCTGCATTAAATAACAAGTTTAGGCATAACATGGAGAACTTAAAAAGTTGTAATTTTAAAACTAAAAATAATTTTTTCTATGCAACAAATCTTAATCAAAAGGATATGAATTCAATAACATCCTGATTTATTGCTATTTATACCAGTTAGTTACAATCTATCTTATTGGTTACTCACAGAAGGTACAAATTGTGTGGGAACTTCATTGTTAGTTGTGAGGACTGATGAGGTTTGTTCAATTATGAACTTCTTGTGACCTTCAAACTAATGATACCTTGAAATTCCTTCCTCACTTTCTGGACTGAGTTATTGCAGTAGATCTCACCCCTGAACCAGTCTTTTTAAAAATTAATTTAATTAGCAATTAAATTTAAAATCGTGAAAAATAATAAGAAAATAATCATGTGATTCAGTAAAAATTTTGTTATTGATTGTTGATTCAATGAACTTCCATGACAATTGATGCAATGTAAAATTATGAAATTAAAATATTTGGATTTGTGATCAGTACAGCTTGAACAGAAATTGGCCAATGTCGTGCAGTAATGCACTCCACAAATCATCTCAGAATGAATTTATAAACTTTGGTGACATTTGCTGTGGTTGGTAGGCAACTCTAGCATTTCTGTAAGCCAGGTGCACAATAGTAGTTCGCTGAACACCAGTACACTTACATTACTTGACAATTTGGGGCCAGTGCTTCAAGTGTAACTTATTTTGAATTTTCTCATCGAATATTCATTGGCAGTAAGTGATGATCTTCGATTCTCATACTTACTCCAGAAGTTCATAGCATTTATTCTGATAAATCTGAATGAAAATGTATGAAACCAAATTTCAGTTCATGTCTGTTAAGGCATTAGAACTACGGGGTTGATTTTAATACGGCTTTCATTGTTTTAGGGCGTTTAAGTTTGTTTTAAGTATAACATTCCGCTTATATAGCCTTCTCAGCAACGTGAGCGGTTTTTTGTCCCTCATCGATGCCAAACCAAATTGGGTAGAGACTGCGTGGACGGTAATTCAGATGCGGGATTTCGGATCTTTTATTGGGGGGCAAATTTGGGTGCTATTATAAATACGGAATTATTCGTTTCAATTAATGCTTTAATAACTACTAGACAGTGTAACTACTAACACTAACAGAATACGTGACTTTTAGAGCTTCTAATGCAGGGTTGTCCAACTGGCTGGCCGCATGCTGTTTGCGGTGCCATTTTTTGTGGCCCGTGATAGGTTATTAGGCAAAAGAGAGGGTTTCTTTTATCCATGTTGGGCGAGAACATTGTACGCCTAGCACACGCGCTCTGCCGGGATCAACACTCCGTTAAATGTAAAATTAGGTTAAGCTTAAGGATTTTCTTAGTAAATTCAGAAATTTAAAATCATCCTGATGTATTCGACTGCGTTACGCATGGTTCCATGCCCCTCACCCTCTGTTTCAGAGCAGCCAGGCAAAGTGCCGAGCTTAACAATATGGGGAAGTCAGATTTGGGAAGTTGTATTTCCACGATAGCCAAGCGTATGCGGTAATAAACTGTGGAAAAGTGCGTGCGAGACAGTATTCTCTCTAAGATTCCCTGCAGTTCCCAGAAATGTGGAAAGTCAAATTATAGAACTCAAAAAAGTGGATTTCTACTGTGAACTGAGAAAAGTTGGTTATTACAGATGGCTACTTACAGGTGCTAATCATCGTAAATTGCAGTTCAAACGTCTAAACGTTTAAGTCGTTACAGTCGACTCCGGTTATAGTGGGGACTAACATTCTTGGTTCACTATATCCGATGTCAAAATTTAATGGTTTCTCCACAATGGTCAATTTAATTAATATTGTGATATCTCAAAATATATTAAGAGCACGAACTGAAAATTTCAATATTAAAATTTAACCGCAAACGTTTATTCCTCTCCCTCTTATGACCGTCCCTCTCTCCGAATGCCTTCGTTCTCACACCACTACTCACAGAAAAACACAAGATCCTTTCGATAGCATGACGCAAATTGTAATGAAACCGGTTCCTTTTCCTTGGCGGGTGTGGCCAAGCTATGGCTGTCGCTTCTTGTCACCTACGTAGAACACCAGGCGCTTTGGCGCGCGGAATATCGAGTAAAATCAAGTTTGAAACAAGGAAACATTGCTGCCGGCAGTTGTAGCCTTCGCAGGACACGCCCTTGGTTTCCGCAGTGAAACTGAGTGCCAAAATGTCATCAGTGAGGCCTCCATTCAGAGTCCCCTACCTTCACCTCAGGGAAGACATCTTTGGGGAGACTGCCTAGTTTTGGAATTAGTGGCACTAAGGTGATATTTTTTCTGAGGACCGTCTATTCCCTACATTCACTATAACCGAATCTTTTTGTGCTTATTTGTAATGCAAGTGAAACGAGACCAGTGACAAGTTCACTACATTCGGAGTCAACTGTATGTTCCTATCATTCTCAGATATTTCATCTGTAAACTTATACAGATTTTCCATATTTGTGCAATAACATAAGTAACCCACAGAAAAGGACATGTAATAAGTTCTCTCTCACAATACATAAGTTGTCATTTATATGCATTGTCTGAACGTGTTGAAAAAATACAGCTTTTGTAATGCGTATGAGCCACTAAGAATTTGAAGATATTTGAGACTTTATTTATGCTAAAGCTAAGACCAAATATTACGTAGTTCATAAAATCAACTGTTTTCTTCCAATATCAAGGTATCGAGCTATGTCCTAGTTGCATTGCAGGAAATGACATCAATGTTCATTAAAACTTAGCAAGCAAACTGTATTAAAATACGTTTGAAAAAAATGTTAACATTACAATTATTAGGGATGACAGGTAGTATTTTAAACGCGTGCCCTTGAATATAGAAATTCAAACATAAACATTTGAAATCAGCATTCGAAATTGCAAACATTTTTTAAATGTAACCAAAATTTAAACGCTGCCCAAGTCTCGTCTGTGTACTGTTGTGTAGAGCCAAGGATTATTTTACTCACGCTGTTTCTATAAATGAAAAAAATGTGCTATCCATTTCTGTACGTCGACAGACAAGAATGTAGTTCAACAATAAAAATGTGGACCATCCGGCAACAGTTGCTAGTCTCTTTATCCAATACTTTTCGAAAATTGCTGCCTTCAGCTACAAAATTCAACATCAGACGTTTCCCCCAAAATTTTATATACAATGTTCTTTTCCGGAACCTTTTCTAATAAAATTCTTAAAATAATCGATAGACTAAAAATTAAATATTCTTCCGGTTTAGATGAATTTCCGGAATTTTTGTTAAAGACTTGTGTGCCTGCCAATATACGTCGGTGAACTCACATTTAATGTATCCTTTGTGCACAGGAACTTTTCCAGATAATTTGAAAACGGCTAAGATGACGCTTTTAAAAAAGGCGAAAAAAATAAAATTCAAAACTTCTCTTTGGTCGATATTTTTCCTAAAATATTATACTTTTTTACGTACGAATGGAATCCTTTCTTAGTAAACACGACACGTTTTCAGATTGTCAACTTAGGTTTTGAAAATCAAAATCTACGGAAACAACCATATTATATATATATATTATCTATTTTATTATAGATTATTTATATATTTATGTAGATTATTATATATATTTTTTTGTAGATGTCACCTCGTCCATGCATCAAAACGATGCACGTATTCGAATATTTTTTAGATCTTTCGAAAGCTTTTGACGTCATTGATCATAACATTTTACTTCCAAATTTGCCTTCGAATGGAATTCATGGTATTGCTCTATATTGGTTATGTTCGTATCTTAAACAACTATCTCAGAGAGTAGAAATACCTTACTGGATTAAAGGAACGTTATGTACACACCTTTCCAATTCTTTCCCAAGTGCATGTGGAGTCCCGCATGGATCGATTTTAGGCCCAATTCTCTTCCTACTATATGTGCACGACATGCCGACGACGATTAGAAATGGAAGAACAGTTCTCTTTGCGGATGATACAAATATTATTTGCAATAAAGAAACCGTAAATAGTACAGTATCAGATATTTCAAATTGGTTCCGTAATAAATTAATAGTAAATGAAAAGAAAACTGTTTCAATGCAGTATTCCATTTCAAATAAACAGCATTGAAAATGAACGGTGAGGCATTGATTGATGTTAAGATAACATTTTTAGATCTTTCAATTCAGTCAAACCTTAAATGGAACGTCCATTTAAATGAATTGATAACTAAATTAAGTTCTTTATGCTATGCTTTCACAATTCTTTCAAATTCAGTCTCCATACTGCTCATTGTGAATACTTTACGAATGTTCATTCCCGCCTGAGATATGGCATAATATTCTGGGGAAATAAATCTTATAGCTGCCAGACTAAGATTACAAAAAGAATTGTACTAATAATAAACAAATCCCACCCACGTGATTATTTTAAGCCTCTCTTTATTAATCTAGGTATTTTATTGTCTTGATATATTAGTCAGGGGATTTTGTCAAAAATGACTTACTTAAGGGCGTTAATATATTTTCAGCAAACGCCGATGTCTATTACCACAACATTCGACGTAGTAATCATATTCATCAGGTGACCGTATCAACAGCTCACAACAAAAAATTCACGTACA